TTTTTCTGCTTGCGTGAGATGTTTTGAGCAAATCGAGGACAGGACTTAAAAAACTGCATTTGCTGCAAAAGGGAGGAGCAGAGTTATTTATCTTGAACGTAACGTGTTGCTCTATCTGATTACAATTACGACTGCTACTAATAATCATCCTTGCATTTGGTTTGACGCCATATCCGGTCATGGAGACACCTCAAACCGCTTGACAGGATTTTACTGTGCACAACAATGTGCCACCAACAGTCACGAAGTGACCAATTGTACCTGTTGGCCAGGGCACGGGATAAAAACTCCTTTTGGTTTAACGTCCGCTGGAACAGGCAGACGGCATCTCAGCTTAATGCCTCGTCTGAAGGCTGGCACTTGTGCCAATGCAAGGCTCACCCAACACTGCATTGGAGTGGTTGCATAAGCTGTTGCCGCATTCACCTACGAAATAAACCAACGCTACGCTTTGCAGTAGATCCCGAGAAGCTCCTCGAGACATCCTGCCGACGTGCAGTGCACTTTAATCAAACGCAAGGAATACTATGATGATTATGCTAAATCCATTCTGCACAGGGAGTGAAGTGAAATTTTCGTTTGATGACTCACTTCCACTCCCTCAAACGACGGAGCATTTTTTTTCTTTGAGTTCATGATGGAACGTCGGGGTCTTGGCTTTTTCAACTTCCATTCAGCCTCCTCGGTAGTTATTGTGCTGTAAAATATTTTCCAGCAATAATATGGTTCAGATGACTACTTAAAAGATATTGCCCCGCACATGTTGTGCTAACAAAGCATGTCATTCTCCCATGTTTTACTTCCTATATTCTGACTCAGTAGTCCCTCCTGTACATTTCACAGACAGGTTATGATTAGCTTCTCGAAGTCTACATCCTCTCACAGGAAACTTTCGGAAGCCTGGAATGTGAGGGGTGGTGGTGGGGGGCTCAGGCAGTGCCTGTGCTGATTCAGAAATCATGAGTACTGCATGACTCAGAGCTCAAGCAAAGAAACATTCCGGATTAAAGAAATACAAACAAAAACAGGGCAAACATTGTCTGGAGGGCAAGGTCTCGTAAAGGCAGGATTGTGGGGCATTTGTGACTCGAATCCTGACATTGTTCACTTGTTGGGCTTTTTATTACTTTTCCTTCTCTAACAACCCGTTAAACAATAGAAAACACACGGGCGAACTGAAAATTACGTGCGATATGGTTCCTCACCCTCTCCTCTCGTAGATAAAACACTTGCAGCTTTTCGAAAAAAAAACTTTGCATTTAATATAAACCCTTTCACCAAAACAGAACGTTCCAAAGCGTCACAGAAATTACTGTCACATGTAGCGACTGTGTGTTTTGTAGGTGAATGGGGGTGGCAATGTCCCATGAAACGAAGGGCATTTTGTATTTGGGGGATTGTCGATCAGAAGACCGGGGGAAACTCCCTTCTCTTTTCAAATAGCGCAGAGTTTTTTAGCATCCACCTGAACAGAAGCTCGGCTTAATGTCTCATCGGATGGACGCAATGCAGCATTCCCCCAGCACAACATTGGAACGTCAGTGTAGCCTTAGCTAAAGCCTTTGTAATAAGTCTCATCGCTTTTCTCTGACTCCCCAAAAAATTGTTCTTTAAGGGATCGGTATTTTGTTTTTATCATTGCAGAGTAGCTGTGTTATTTACACCTAACGCTACTGTGTTTATACAACGACTGGTCACTTTCATCTTTGGAGCTACTTCAGCGCCTCTCTCAGTTTAGAATACATATAGAACGCATTGCTATTGCTGTCGATCTTTTTGAGAGCAGTTTCGTTTTATTTCATTCTGCCTTTTACTCGATCGGAGCTGCGTGTCATATTTTACTCTTTTAGAACCGAAACCGTTGCATTTGGAAAATGTTGCCAAGTGTTGACTGTTGATATTTTCATCTCAAAGCAATGGGACTCCAACAAAGCTCAGTCCAGGAACTATACAAACAACTATGAAATTACCTACAAGGGAAAATTCTTATGACTCAATGCAGTATCCTTACTCCTTATCGCCATCCACTGACCATCAGGGGAAAATGTGAATGTACGGTAACACACGATTGGATTCAACTTCAATAATCTCAGTCTGGCTCAGGCGGTAACATGCTCACATTTGAGTCAGAAGCTTGTGGGTGCAAGACCTATATTGGGACTATAACTTCAGAGTCTAGGCTGAAATTCCAGTGCAATACTGGGGGAGGGCTGCATTTGTAGAGGTACCTTCCTTCGTTAAACCAAAGCCCTGTTTACCTGTTCAGGGCGGATAATAAAGCACACATGACACTCTTTGAAAGGAGAAGCAGGGTTCTCTCCGTGCCCTGGCCAACAAATCCCACGCATAAAGTTGGTCGGTTGTGTGCAATTGGCTGCCGCGCTTCGCCCACAAAATGCACGGTCAATGCATTTAACAGTATATTCTGCGAAGCGATTTGAGGCATTTTTACGATGTGACAAGGTGCTATATTCCATACAAGGATTATTATTATAACCCGCCTGACAATCCCTGGGGACTATTTTACACCGATCACCCTAAATAGCAATTTTTTCCTATGCCTTTATCATGGGATTTCTTACAGCAAAGATACGGCAAAAAGATCACATTTTTTGTCAAAACGTGAGACAACCTCATTGTTTAGGTTCACACATTAAAAAAAACTAACATTTGATTCTTTGGGACTACTGTGAAATGGTTTAAAGAGCCCAAGGATTATTTTTCAGTGGATTTAGTCTAGCAACACAAAACCTCTCTCCTGCTAACTTAATTGGCATTAAATTTGGAAATGATTCATATTTTAACCTCTCATTTCAAAACGCACAGAAACATAATACCTTAAATGCGTTCCAGTGGCTTATTGTTCAATGCCTCTGCATTTTCCCCATTAAATATCAAAGAGAAGACAGTCATTTGCTGGTTGGAGACAATCCTTACAGCACAAATTGAGCAACACATTGTAACTTCTCCAGAACCAGCCGATTGTGAGGAGCGGTGCATCATGTTAAGACAAAATACACAGTCACTGCACTTTATAGTATATGCTGTGAAGCGCTTTGAGGCGTCACAACTACGTGATAAGTCGCTATATCAAATGCAAGGATTAATATTATTAAAATAATTAGATTATTACGAATTAAATGCTTGCATTTCCAGATATGGTCTTAAAACATTAAGGCACAGCAGTAAAAATGTTAACAAGGCTGATGTATCACACAAGGATTTGAAGACTTCTTAAACAAACAGATGCTTCTCATTGTATACTTCCTGTCATAAACAAGTCTAATCTTTTGTGTGTCTGCGTGTGTGCGTTCATAAAATGCACTCATCAAGTGGAACAAACATAAAATGCTCAGGAAAGGAATATCAAAGACTCAGATATTGGAAACAGGAAGCTGAGTGAAATCATGCAGAGGTCTGCGAGATGGAATGGGACAGATTGTATCAAAAGGACTAGTCGTCATCTCCGTTTGGGTAGGAAATAATGTTGAATAACTATTTCAATTAAAAGCAACCTACATTTACACTATGCTTCAGAGACGCATGGTTACCCTAATTTTATGGCACCTTATTATGTCGTCGAGGTGGCTCAAAGCGCTTCACAGGATAATATTAGTACTACTACTAATAATAATCCTTGCATTTGATATTACGCCTTATCACGTCTTCGAGACGTCTCAAAGCGCTTCATCACAGAATATACTATAAAATGAATTGATAAAGGCAGCCAATTGCGCACAGCAGTGTCCCACAAACATAAGCCGCTACATCAAATGCAACGATTATTATATTAATATTATTATTTTCTTTCAGAATCGAGACATTTTGGCGTCAGGTAGATGGCCTTTAAAGGTAAATTTTGGTATTAAATTTGAAATATTTTTGGGCACAAAATATTTTGAATGCAATGATGTGCAAGTTATTCTTTTGGAATGGAAAGCACCATTAAAATCATTTCACACACAGGAACCTTTGAGTTTAGCTGTATGGTGCAGTTGAATCTGCATCAGTGAGTGCACTTATATAACTATTAAGTATTAAATAATAAATAATAATCCTTGCATTTGATACAGCGCCTTATCACGTCTTCGCGATGTCCCAAAGCGCTTCACAGAATTTACTGTAAAGTGAATTGACTGTATATTTTTGGGCGAAACGCGACAGCCAATTGCACACAGCAGTGTCCCACAAACAGTGGTGGATTGAAGTGACCAAATTATTATTTTTTTTGAGGGAATTATTACCCCGGAAACTCGATCCGCCAATTGACTAACAACCGGGTTCGTACTTACTACGAGGTAAGTAAAGGCGTGTGGAGTAAGGAAACTTGCCCAACATTTCGCCCTACATAGATGCCATTTTTTATAACCTTTATGTAAACTGACCTATAAAAGCTAACCTGTGGATGAAAAAAAAACTGATCCAGAGCAACAAACTCCCCCAGAAAATGCTGAATTAATTTCAGGAAGACTCACATGTGTAACTTACCTTTTTTTTAAAATGAGATACTTTAATTAATTCACTCCTGCAGGCCCCGGTTTGCACTAGTTCCACTGTCTGATCTGACCCCAAATAGGTGTGAATTGTCGCTACAACAGTGAGAGTCACGAGATTCTGAAATTAGTTTGGACGAAGAAAGCCATTCGGCCCACTGGAGCTTATCCTTCCAGAACACCCACCCTAACGACCCCAGATCACAGGATCAAGCTACTTTATAATAATAATAATAATAATCATTGCATTTGATACAGCGCCTTATCACATCTTCTAGACCTCTCAAAGCGCTTCACAGAATATACTGCAATGCGACTGTAGGTTTTGTGGGCAAAATGAATCCAGTGTCCTGGCCTCAGCCCCTTTCCTGCCACCTGTCCCGGTTGTCGTTTACCTTCTGAGTGGAGGAAGTAAGTCATATTGCAAAAGCAGCAGCCAGGCAGTGAATGAGTTAAAAAAACAATTTTTTATATATATAAACAGTGTAATGCTTCCAACATTTATAGAGCATGTTACTCGCAGACTGTAAATTATCGTGCAGAAAGCTGCACTGAAACCGTCAGAACACGCAGTGATATGATTTGGATTCAACGCTGTTTGAGTTTTATCACTCGCAAACACCAGAGTTGATTTCCACTGTACACTGTGGTTTTATCTTCAATAAGTGATAGTGCTGAATTCTTCCTTTATTTACAACATTCATTATTACAACTAAAGAATGGCAAATAGGTATCTTACAAAGGATGTACTTTTACACCTCTCCATCTGGAACAATGCCGGAGGCTTGGATCATAAAATTCAATAACCCTTGAACCACATTAGAAAGAGCGACAAAAAAGTCATACAACTTATTTTCAGTTCTTCGCCGCACAGTTAGACATTCTTCTGTCACACGCAGTTTATTCGGTTTCATCCCTTAACGTCTGAAGAATTTGAATTAGATTATCCAGGCCAAAGATATAACCTTTATCGGGTCCGTCGTGAGTGCCCTGGTAAGACTGGAAATCCTTGTATGTCGTGTGAGCGAAATCTATCATATGAACCTCAATCTTGGCTGAACCATTTCCAGGCTGTGGGGAGACGTCGGAAAAGAGATTACAGTTACAGTTATTGCACGAAAGTTTGTGCATTTGGATCTCCGCACTGTTCCTTTTCTGTTCTGCTTTCATCTCTTTTCCGTCATAAATGATAAGAAGTGAACTGGAGTAGAATCTATAGGAGCTCTGCTTCTCTATCACTGCCTTGAGAGCTTTGAGTCGAAGTAGAACAGGCTCGATCAAGTCCTTCCTGAGGTACGTGCCGTTGTGTAGAAACTGGTAAAGGGACTGTTTGAAACCTTCAGTCGAAAGAGATCGTCCATAATACTTGTTCCGACACAGGAAGTGACCGCTCTCAGGCTGGTAAATCTGAAATAAAGTAAATTATAAAATTGATCCTTTAATTTTTTAAACGTAAAGTTTTTCCACTCTAGAGATATATGCAGCGCAATAAATATGATGGTTGTAATTTTATCTACAGCTGGATCCAAATAATGCTGCATAATGTGCTTCTGGGCTACATTTATAAAGCCAATATAAACAGACAGTGGCATAAAAACAGTGGGCAACTGGCTGCCACTTTTCGCTCATAAAATATACAGTCAATTCACTTTACAGTATATTCTGTGAAGCGCTTTGAGACGCCTTGAAGACATGATAAAGCACTATATCAAGGCAAGGATTATTATTATTATTATTCCAAAGTGCTATTGTAGGCACATTGCTGTTTGTCATTAACTGTTCAGTGTTAACAAATGCACACAGTTATGCATAGTTATCAATCAATATGGGTTGAAGCAGAAACCATCCGCATAAATAAAAGGACATTTAGTGCATTCATGAAGGAGAAGGGAATAGAGGAGATGGGAATAAGAGGGGTGGGGACTCGCGTGAAGAATAAACACAACACCAGCACGGACCAGTTGGGCCGAATGACCCATTACCATGCTGTCACGTTACACGGATGCAATACATGCAACATTTCAGCCCCTTTCAGTTGGTAGCACTCTCGTCTCCATGTCAGAAAGCCGCGGGTTGAAGCCCTACTTTGGCAATTGAGTTGCTAACATACGGTGACACTTTAGCGCAGAAGTGAGTGAGCACCACATTACCGAAAAAAAATATCCATCAACTGGACCTGTGGAAAAGGCTCCCTAGGGAGACGCCTGAAGCAAGAAATGTTGATTCCTTCAAACACAGATTAGATAGTTTTCTTTTAGGAAATAACATTATGGGAAACAGTACATGGGTAGATCCGGACAATACAATACATGCGTGCGACCGCGAGGAAGGTGGAAGGCGACCTGGGTTGGTCTTTTTTCGTTAAGCATTTCTTGCGCTCTTATCTGTAATTGGCAAAAGATGTAAATAAATAGGTCTGTGATCAGTTACCTGCATTCCACAGATGCGGACTCCCAGTGATGCCGAGGTGCTTTGCTCACACTTCTGTATGTGTCGGGCTTTCTTCTCCTCTGAGGCATCGTCCCCATGTTGTCTGGTGCCCATCTTTAAATCCAGGATGCTGGGACATTTGAACTGCGACACGACATTTTCCAGTAAGAGAAATCCTGATTTCAGTGTTAAGGAAAACAAGAGTTCTTTTTTGGAACAAGATACATGCGAACATTTTCTATTTTGATACTCCAATAGGTTCATTTAACAACGACAACAACAACAAGTTGCAATGTTTCATGAAAGGCAGAGTCCCAGAGCGCTGGACAGTGGCAGATCACGACTCCGAGCTGGGAGGTGGGAGGGGGTGACTGGTAGGCACGGTCGAATAGGAAGGTTCGGGCTCGACCTGAAGGAGCAAGACGGAGGGACAGAGGGATAGAGTTTGGGGGTGTAGTTGTTGTTGTTCTTGTTGTAGTGGCTGAAAGCATGTTGGGCTTTTTTTGGCACGATGCAGACTTGCTCAGATGATGTAGAATCATTACATTTCTCTTCAGGCTTGTTGAAATATAAGACATACAAAGGTAATAATATGTGGCTGGTTTATATGAGACATAACATACGTTGTAATAATAATAATAATCCTTGCATTTGATATAGCGCTTTTCACGTCGGGAGGACGTCCCAAAGTGCTTCACAGAACACACTGTAAAGTGAATTGACTGTATATTTGTGGGCGAATGCGGCAGCCAATTGCGCACAGCAATGTCCCACAAACAGTCGTAGATTGAAAATGACCAATTTAATTATTGTTTTGGGTTTTGGAGGATTATTATTAGGCTCTGTGTGGAGTAAGGAAACTTGCCCAAGGTTTCGCCCTCTGCCTGGAATTGAACTCAGGTCTCTCACTTGCAAAGCGAGTGCTCTAACCACTGAGCTACAGGACTCCACATCGTGTACATCGTGTAGTGTGTCTCTTATATCATTTCAATCTACTGGCAAAGCATCAACTTAATCTAGTCTGTTGACCGTTTTTTCCAAATCAGAAATTAATTAATTTGCTTTTCAGTATTCTGCACAAGGAACTGAATAAAAATAACTTTTCAAATCTTTAACACACTAATTATTCTGATGTTGGCAGCAATTGCTTTCGAAATAACTTTTTACGTTCGGACTCTGAACAACTACATGAAATTTCAAAGATATTCCAAAAAATCTATTTTTTGGATTATATTTTTTTCACAAAACAGAACGATGAAAACGAACATTACAGACGAAGTTACAGATTACACATTTATGAACTGCAATAAAGTTTTAATCCAAAGCGATCATGGGTGTGTGTAAAAAAAAATGCATGGTTTGTTATAATGTGAACCACTCAAAATAGCGTCCTCCAGTGGAGACGAAACATCACTACTGCAAATATCGCACGTCATTAAACAAGCAGAAGATGCGATTAAACAAGCAGAAGAAGTTTTTTTAAAAAAGTCTAATAATCATAATCCTTGCATTTGATAGAGTGCCTTATTGCTCACAAAAGACACAGTCACTACACTTTACAGCATATTCTGTGAAGCACAGGACAGGCTCTCAGAGCACTTATATCAATTGCAAGGGTTATTTTTTGGATTAATATCGTGTCATTGAGACGTCTCAACACTATTCACAGAATATACTGTAAAGTGGATTGACTGTGTTTTGGGAAAAAAGGTAAAAAGAGGGAATAATTTTTAAACAAGACAGTAAATCTATACAGTAAATCCCGTAAAGCACTTTGAGACTTTTTAAGGATTTGAGAAGGAACTACTTGCATTTCGAATGTAAAAATTATTGTTATAATTCACCATTGCTGCTCTAGGAATGGTGTTTGCTATAACATTGGAATATATCGCTGTGTGATCAGGTGTGTAAAGCAACAACAACAACAACTTGCATTTATTTATACAGCGCCCTTCAGGTAGCGAGAGGATACTGTATAATTTCTTCTCCTTGGACTCCGAGCACATGCGGCTGAGCTGCTCCCTGTGACATTGCAGACTCCAAGGGTTGAAGCAGTTTTTCTCTGAGTTGGAGCCCTGGTTTCCGTCCATCATCTGAAACAGATTGCCGGAACAGATTCTCACGGCCAACCTCAGAGCCCTGGAGGAAGTGTAGCTGCTGTGACATTCCAAGTACATTTAGAATATATATTTGTGGCATCAAAACAGCCCGAAATAATAACCCGCCTTATCCTTAGCTTCCCAATGCATTGCAGGTCATGTCATGAGAGAGTTTGGCATTGCTGAACCCTCCAGTAAGGGGCTGTCAATGATGATACAACAACAACTTGCATTTATATAGACCCACCCCCCCTCATGCAGGGTAGCATCCCAGAGCACTTGATGCCATCATTGTAGCCACTGCCGCCCATTCCACACTGGCTTGTGCTTCCTGTTTACAGAACCCGTGACAGAATTTTCATATGACTAATATTTTTTTAGTCCAAGCTCGATTTGAAAAACAAACAAATAAACAAACAAGCAAATAATAATTGGGTCACTCAATCCACGGCTGTCTGTGGGGCGCTGCCGTGCGCAATCGGCTGCCGCGTTTCGCCCACAATATATATACATATATATATAGTCAATCTTCTTCACAGTATGTATTGTGAAGCGCCTTGAGACGTCTCGACGACATGACAAGGTGCTGTATCGAATCGCAGATTATTATTATTATTATTGATTTATCCGCAGGGGAGAAAGGGAATTATTACCACGCAGTCTGCTTTGAGTTAAAGACGAGCACTTAAGAGAAAAAGTATTGGCCGAAATTAACCTCAACCTGCCTTTGATGGAACTGGGAAGGAAGCATTGGACTGTGCTGCAGGAGAAAGCAAAGCGAGGATTACCTGTCATGGCTGCTTCCCTCCAGCTGGGAGCTCTCGATGATACCAGCACTGTGATCACTGCTGCCCATTACACGCTGGCTTCCTCGCTTGTGCTTCCGTTTTGCCATTGCCGGAGCCTCAGGTCCTCCTTTCTCTGCGCCGCTGATCTTTTGGGCTTGAGGACAAGCCACCAAACTCAGCTGGCCGCTGCTGTCCTTCTCAAGACAGACTGAAATGGTCCCTGAAACGGCAAAGCAGTCCATCGCGTCACGACAGACAATTCAATTCGCCAAGTTAAAACTCATTTAGGTACCACGAAATGTCTTTCTGCCAGCAGTACCAGCCAAATGTAATAATAATAATAAAAATAATAATAATCCTTGCATTTGATTATAGCGCCTCATTGAGATGTCTCGAAGCTCTTCACAGAATATATTGGAAAGGGGAGTGAGTGATTATGTATTTTGTGGGTTTGTGAAGCAACACTGAACAACACACACTGCTACTTTTCATTCAGTCTCATCTTCTGATGGAATCAGCAATTTTGGAGCGAGAACTACTTTGAAAAACTTCTTCCATATTTAAACAGCAAAGTACCAAAGTTCCAGAAAACGCGACAGTTTGGGAATTTTAAACTTGTTTCCAATTGATCACAAAATGGCCCAGGTTTACGTAGTAAACTAAAGCGCTGCACGAGAGCATATGTGACTGAATGTGTTTCGCTCACGAGAAAGACTTGAAACACAGCGAGGCACCACTGGCACTACAATTGTACGATGGAGGGTGATATTTGAGTGCACCCATTAGCAGGGCTGAAATTAGCTGCTTGTTAAACATAAATGGCGTTGATGAATGAGATGCTGAAAAGCGCTGTGTCGACACGTGGTCTGGTTGTGCATTGCATGATTAAGAGACAGCACAAATGACCAGGAAAAGTAAGCATTGCTAAGTGCAGAATGATGCCATAAAAGTTCAGAGCTTTCCACAGTACGTGGGCCAGTGCTGATGGTCAGGTTACACAATGATAGTACAAAAATACATTTTATGGGGTCAGTCCTATTACCACCAGCAGTAAAAAAATAATGTTCCTTAGCCTACAGAAGTCCTCTTTCAAACCTGAGTTAGGAGTCCTGTAGCATATTGGTTATCACGCTCGCCTCGCAAGCGAGTGGGTTCGGGTTCGATTTCCAGGCGGGATGAAACCTTAGGCAAGTTTCCTTACTCAAACACGCTTCTGTTTACCTCGTAGTAAGTAGGGACCAGGTCGTTAGTCCATTGGCAGAGGGTGTTAACCCCTCAAATAAAATGTGGTCATTCAATTGATTTTAGTGAAGTTCTCACCATATATCATGCATAATTCCTTTATGCAGCATGACGTTCAGGTGCTTCCATAAGTGCTCTGAGAATCTACCCTGCATGAGGGGCACTATATAAAGGCAAGTTGTTGTTGTTGTTGTTCTTCCTACTGGGAGCTGCCACTTTGAGATCTCTCTCAGTCCCCCTGTATTTTGCCCCTCTCCTCCAAACCTGAGTTGAAAACCGTGTAAAGAGCAGCAGTGTCTTTCAAATGTTTTTTTTAATCTGCAAAAGCTGTAAAAGTCTTTAAGAGCATAATATCGGTGGCACGGCGAGTCTTTTGATTATTTGATCACACGCGTGCAACAACAACCGCAACATATATTCCACTCATGCCACGCTTTCACGTCAGGAGGACGTCCCATTTCATCAGGGAAGAAGTAACAGAGAAGCGAGGAACTCCTCCACACAAGGGAAGGAAACTTGAGAGGATGAGTCATTCAAATAACTCTCGTTTGCTTCATACCAGCAGCAGCACTGACATAAACCTGGGAACAGATTAGCTTCCTGACCTCACAATAGTCAGCAGTGACAGCTGGGCCTTGAGAAACTTAAAGGGGAGAGAGGAGACAATATTCGTAAAATTACTAGATAAGGTGTATAACACTTTATATTCCGTTTCTTTAAATATCCGTTATTTTTCAAGCATAAAGGCCATTGTTCCCAAGTGGTTATTATTAGACTGTTATTTCTCCGCTTGAAGCACATTCCTTCTAAATTTAGGGCGAGGAGTGAGAATGCCCTTGAGATTTTCACGTCGTCAAAAATAAACATCTATGTCACCTTTTATCTCTTATCAAAAAAAGTCTTGGCTCTATCCAATATAAACACACTAAAGCTAAAATTCGTTGGCAACTAATTTCCAAACATTACAGTACATAGACAGCTAAATTTATGCTGCGTGTATGTGTGCAGAGGTGAATAGCTATTTTACAGAGGGTTAAATTATATAAGCAAATATCTTAGATATCAGGGTTACAGTCATGGGACAATTTTCTTGGCCAGACATATATCTGCATAACTGAACAATGCACCATTTATCTTACTACTTTTATCGCTGCTATAAAGGCTCCACGACACTGTAATTCATTTTCAATTGCTGCAAACTCCTAGTTCAAAAGGACATCTCCTTTGGCTTTTCACTCAACCTGTACAATCCAATTACAGGCTATTTGTGTCTCGTCAGTCATTCAGTTGGACTTCTGTACAAAGCATTTTAATGCAAATTATGACCTTCATGTTTGTTGCTAGACGAGTTGCATAGTTTGCATACAGACAACCTCTGCTGCTTGAAATGTGTATACCCACACATAATTAATGCAGAAGATAACTTCTATATGATATCTGTGAATTATTTTACCTGCACACATTACACAGAAAGCAAAGATACCTCTGCAGGTACATGATCCTCCTATCAAAAAACAGTGAGCGGAAGGTAATAATGCAGATAATTTTTCATAGGCACTTGAAGGACCGAACCATTTAAACTTGTGCACAGGCACATTTGCTTATGCACTGGCTCTGCATTCAATATCCCTTTCATCCCTTTGTGCCACGCATGTGACTCTATTATACAAGTAGTTCATAACCAAACGCTGAAGCTATGATGTGTTGAGTTTTTTTTAAAATGCTCTTTGTCACGAGCAGTAATTTCTCTTGTCTTTGCAGCAGAAATGTTCAATTATCACTTTGCATCATGAAGTTTACCCTATAAGGCTAAAATAATCATCATTGTTAGATCAAAGATAATGGCACAAGTCTAAAGGAACGTAAATTCAGCGCCTTGGGACGTCATCTCAACGTGAAAGATGCTATACAAACGTAATTTGTTGTAGTAGTTGTCGTTGCAAATACAAACATGTATTTTACACATTTGAAAGAGTGCAATCTCGCTTATGAAAATTGTCCCTCCAAAACAATTGGTCATTTTCAATCCACGACTGTTTGTGGGAACGCCGCTGTGCGCAATTGGCTGCCGCGTTTTGTCCACAAGTATACGGTCAATTCACTTTACAGTCTATTCTGTGGAGTGCTTTGAGATGTTGAGAAGACGTGAAAAGCGCTATATCAAATGCAAGGATTATTATTATTATTCGCACTTTAAAATCCTTATACTATCTGTCTCCCATCATAATGTACCGAGTACTGAACACTCAGTGGGGTAGTAGCAGTGTAGTTGCTATCATCCCGTTCCAATACATGCTTAAGTTATGACTTTGCTTGGAGTACTACATCACTCTGTACGGAGCGATTTCCGTAAGGAATTTTGGGACTATTACAAAAGATATGGGCAGCATTTCTGTTTCATATTTTGCAGACATAACCTTCCTTCTACTTTCAATTTTTGTTCTAAATGCATTCCTGAAAAATGGCACCATCATAGGTAAAGATGATGCAATTTACTGTGCATCAATAATAATAATAATAATCCTTGCATTTAGTATAGAGCCTTATCATATCGTCGAGACGTCTCAAAGCACTTCATAGAATATATTCTAAAGTGGATAATTTGGCACATCTTAATAAAATATGACAATATGACATTTTATATTAAAATATTCTGAAATTATTTTGCCAACAGCCAGAATTTTCCACTGGAAATGAAAAAAAAGTCTGAACAGGAGAGTGTTCAGCGTATTGTTAAGCACCGTACCTTTATACTGAGGAGTGAATGGTTTCATTTCCTGAGGCAGGGACTCATAGAACAATTGTTCCTGGGAGATGAGAGGTTTGCAGATGGTGGTGTCATCATATTTCATCATGCTGGTGTGCCCACCGACCTGATGTACGAAAGGTTCAAGAATCCTCTTCTGTGGGTCAGTCATCTCCACACTATCCAGCAAGTACATTCTCAAATGTTTATCGCCAAATCGAGTTACTGATCAAGTCTCTTGGAGTTTACATATCTTCCCAGCTACGCCAAAAGTGGCAGAGACTTTTCAGGTTCAGGTTACAGAAAATGTCCTTTTAGATTTGATGGCCTGGAAGACAGAAACCCTTTAGCTCAAGAAGAAGTTGCATCCCTTTTTTTAGCCATGCATTTATCAATAATATTCAAGGTAAAGTTAATGAATTGGTAACTCCAGTCGGCTAAAACTGCTCAAATGATGACTTCCTGTGCTGGAGGGCGAGATAGTGGTTGCGGCACAGTGGTTAGAGCACTCACCTCGCAAGCGAGAGGACCTGGGTTTGATTCCCGGTCAGGGCGAAACATTGCTTACAAGTTTCCTTACTCCACACGTTTCTGTTTACCTAGCAGTAAATAGGAACCCGGTTGTCAGTCGACTGGCAGATCGCTTTTCCGGGGTGTAATAATCCCTTCCACAGAAAAAAAAATATTTGGTCACGCAATCCATGGCTGTTTGTGGGACGCTGCTGTGCGCAATTGGCTTCTGCGTTTTGCCCACAAAATATACGATCAATTCACTTTCCAGTATATTCTATGAAGCGCTTTGTGACGTCTCAAATATATTATCAGGCGCCTTATCAAATGCAAAGATTATTATTATTATTAACAATAGACACCTCTGGAGGGGCTAATTATAGGGCAGCTTTTCTGGCTCAAGCATGATACATGTCAGGTGCAGTACCAATATGTCAAGTGAGTGAGATTAATAATGGGGGTGAAAATAAAAAATAAATTGATTACTTTGATTATTATTGTCCACTTGTATTCTGAACTTTACCACACGTTGGGGAGATAGCCCAAGGATTATAGTACAGAGATCTCTTAGATTTAAACATTTCCAGTTTAAGACATTTTCGAGGAGTGCAATGGATTTACTGAGATTTAAGGAATATTCAAGAAAAAAAGCGGAGTCCATGGCTTTTTAATATTAAAACCTCACCGGTGTTGTGACACAGGTAAACTTTGCTCGTTGGTGCAGAGAGCTCTGCTTTCCTTGTAATGACAGTGACACGATATTATCCCAGACTGACAGATTCCGTTGTTCTAACTAGGAGTCACTCTGGCTCACAGCCTGTATTTACAGTAAATCCTGTGGTGCAGTAACCATCTCCTTTGTAGGTAGCACTCTCGCTTCTGAGTCAATTGGTTACAGGTTCAAGCCCCATGTCAGAATTTTGAACTCGTATGATCGAAGGTAACACTCCAATACATTGCTGGATGGTGTGCTGCATTAATAGAGGTGTTGTCCATCAGATGAAACATTAAAACTGAGGACCCACCTGCCTGGTTAGGTGGACATTAAGAATCCCAAGGCAATTTTTGAAAAGAGCGCCTTTGCCAACAATTGGTTATTCACTTCAAGGTTGTTTGCGTGACATTGCTGTGCATAAATGAGCTGCGGCACTCATCTGCAGAATACAGTCACAACACTGTAAATCCTGTGAAGCGCTTTGAGACATCCTCCTGGACATGAAACGTGCTATGTCAAATGCAAGGATTATCATGTATCAAGAAACAAAGTGATTACATGTCCCCGAGAGAGTAAGGAGCAGATTTGTGCCTGTATTTGGAGCAAGGCATTGATCTGTGTGGAATGGGACATTCAGTTATAACCTGATTTATGCAGGTCCAAAAGAACAGGCAGATTAACAGCGAATGGGACAGCTGCAAATAGGGAGTATAGGGATGCCTGGGGTATAACTAAGGTTACACTTTTTTTAACAAAAGTTAAAAGCAGAGAGTTCATTCAGTTATGAACAATAAAAGGATTTATGAATTATTTAATATTAATCATTTTTGGACAGTAACCTTTGGGATAGAGAGGAGTTTAATAATAAAAATAATAAACCTTGCATTTGATATAGCACCTTATCACGTTCTCGAGACATTTCAAAGCCCTTCGCAGAATATTGCAAAGTGAATTGACCCCATATTTTGTGGGCAAAACACAAAGCTTAGATACCATGAGTTAAAGTCTTTTAAAGGTGATAACTTTCACCTGCCTTTAAGACAAAAATGAAGTCAAACAAACATTCCTTTATTGGTGGCTAATCATTTCTTGACTGGATAACAGCAATGGCGGATTGTCTGAAACAGAATGTCCTGAATTTGACAGGCATCCATCCCAGTTAGAATACTGAGCTGCTTAAATTCTTGGATTAGTCTTCGTAAGAACATAAAATACGGCATGCAAAAAAGCCATTCAACCAATCAGCCCGTTCAGCGTTGAATGAAGTTTTAATATTAAAAAACCGTGGAACCTGCTTTCTCTTGAATAATCCTTAAATCGTTGATTTAAAAAAACTAATAATAAATTGATCACTTCAATCCACGACTGTTTGTGGGACACCGTTGTGCATAATTGGCTGCCGCGTTTCGCCCACAAAATATACAGTCAATTCACTTCACAGTATATTCTGTCGAGCGCTTTGAGACGTCTCGAACACTTGATAAGGCGCTATATCCAATGCAAGGATAAAATTATTATTATCATTATGTCCACTGCTTTCACACACATCTAAAATCTGTCCAGTTTGGAGACTTCATCCTGGGCACCAACTAAGCATGAAAGCAGGATCCTGGAAAGTAAGTAAAGAAACAAAGCAAACCCCCTGCAGAACCTTCACCAATCCCCCCACCACATCTCCTCTGTTCAGTCTTGGCTTGATCGCCTTCACAATGACAATCTCCCCAACTCCCCTCCACCCCCACCACCGCCCCGCTTTCCCGTCCCTAACCCTCACTCAAACACACCAATCTTCAGGAATGAAGAGCAAATCTCCTGGAACCAGATTGTCTTGGCTTTGGTACGTTTCAAAAGCTAGCACATCTCATTTTCAAAAGTTTGAAACAATATCATACGCTGCTTAAAAAAAAATGTTTTCCGACTGCTTAACACACAAATGTCAGCCCACACCGGGTATAAATAATCGCAAAAGCAAATAAGTGAAAGCTGCGCTGTAAGTCAATCAAAATAAAATAATGTTTCACTTACTGGCTTGACAAATGCTTTCTCTCTGCAACATGCTACTGGAATGATCCTCTCAGATAATGAAGGGAAAAATCTATTAGCAACAATAAAGGTTGGCTATCAGACCACACGGTTAAGGGGACACATGACAAACTGCGGAATCCTTGGCATGGATCTTTGTACTATGTCCAGATGCTTCCACCACAAGCCGGAGTGTGTAGTTACTCAATTTAAAGGGGTACTGCCTTCGTGAAATGTTTGGCAAAATATTTGGTGTTGACTAACAAATGCACATTGCAATGAGGATAATTGTGTGGCTGCGTCACTCCCACACAATGTCATCACCCTGGAAATGACACACTTGGATCTTTTCTGGGCTCTTCTGCCATCCAACAAACAGGAAAGCAGTGTCCCCTTTAAAGGAAAGCACTCGACTGATAAGCACTGGGTGATAATAACTTAAACAGAGTAGAATAAATCGCACAAGATATTATTCTGACATTCTAAATTTGCAGTAGAAAATATGCAAGTCAGCAAAAGTTTACTCTAATGTCCGATACTAGCAAAATCTAAGTAAATGTAGATCTTTCAAAATAAATCATGTAGGAATAATTTTGAAAGTATGATCTTAGCGAGTCATTTGAAATTGCATCTGTCCTGACAAAGAGGTATCAGATTCATCTTCGCTAATTATTTCTGTGATTTCAAACCATGTGTAGAAGCAGCATGTCGTCTGTTTATTCTGCATGATTAGAATACTTCCCTTCTGCAAGTAATTCATTTAGTGGCTTTGGTTTACATCAATAAATGTGTAGAACCACTACTGATGCACAATCAGCGAAGGCCACTTGAATCATAATATGTTCATGTTGATCTGAACATGAATAGAGGATTAAAAACTATAGCACAATGCAAACCGTTAGTATCTTCAGTGGCTTGTGAAGCATCTGACCAACACTACCTGACTAGGTTCCAATATTTATTATTAGTAGTAGTACTATAGCCCCTTATCATGTCGCTAGGACATCTCTAAAAGCTACACAGGAATTACTATATAGCAACTGTATTTTGCTGGACAAATTGGCAATGGCAGCCAATTTCCACACAGCAATGTCCCACAAATAGCCGTGAAGTGACTGATCAATTTTAATTGGGGGCATTGATGGCTAAGAGGAGGGAAGCATGAAGTAAGCTTTTCACATGTAGAAAGAAGAAATGTGCATTTACTATACAAAATAAAAGTTCGACGGTGCTTTAAATCAGATATTTTCACTTTTCGTTATTTATGTTGGTTTTGCATGATGGCTGTGATCAAACAATACTTCTGAATCTTATTAACACGGTGTATCATATATATTAATAATTGTGCTGCCATGTTCTCCTACAAATATACGTTCACTCCATCTCCTAGTAAATCCTGGGAAGCCCTTCGAGACGTCCTTCTGACGTGATAATAAATGCAATGCAAAATAAATGCAAGGATTATATACATTTTTCCAATGTCGACTTCTTCTAAATAAGCTCGCCATGAACAAGTCACGAACAAATGTGTATTAAACTTAATAACTTGTATTAATAACTTGTGCATTTTCTTTTATGCCCATGTTTTATCTGAAAAACCAAATGATGAATATCTAAAAGATGTTTTTACCTTCAGCCAGACACCATAATAGGAAGCAGAAGGTCATTTGCTGGGACGAGGTTAGTGGCCATTTCGGTATTATGCTTGGCACGGGATTCTTCTTCCTTACAAGGTGCACTCATATTACAGCTGCGTTCACTCAGACTACTGCTGCCTTACCTCTGCAGAGTCTGAATTCTATGAGATCATTCACAAACAGCTGCACATGTACACTTCCTGACACGGAAAACTCGTGGAGGGAATGACTATCACATTGCATTAAAATCCACAGCTAAAAATTTGTACGCTGTCAACACACACCGTTATAGATTAATCCAGTGGCAACTTCATTATGCCAAACATCTACTTAACAGCACCTAATTTTCCACTGATTGTGACATCTGATATATTGCAGTCACTCTGTGAAACACTTCACAAGACATTCTTCCTGAATTCCAGTTTGAATGCAATTGTAGCTATCTGGTTGCTAACTATTGCTTAAAAATAAATTAAACCTGACTTAGCGGGCGAACAATGTCTGAAAATGTCAAAATATGGAAACTGAGGGCCAGTTGTAAAGTGAACGTCACAAAGGTCTGAATGCAATCACATTACTTACTCAACCAGACCCAAATGCATAGCATAGAAGCCTTCAGCGTTACACTGTGTACTATCTACTCAGGCCTAACGACAATGACAGGGCAGGCCCAGAAAGCAATCTCTGTTGTCTAACAAACTCGAATTATCACAGAGAGTGAATTCAAATCTGCATAGACGCCTGTTTTTATGTTAGTTTCAATTTGCAAAGAAAATATTACAGAAAAATATGCCCTGTTGCATCTCGTTAAACGACATACCTTTTGATCATGTTATCAAACAACAACTTGCATTTATATATCGGGAGGACGTCCCAAGGCACAGAATTAAACTCTAAAACTAATAAATGCATCTCCAAATACAACCTATCTTTGGTTTATTTACTTACGTTAATGAATATAAAGTTTGCACTAACACACTCAGAAACAGGAACTAAAATCAAGTTGAACAATGAACATCTCATTTCCTTTCAGCAGAAAGATATAAACAATAAGCTTGCGATGCAGAAAATTTGTTCCAATTTTGTCCTCACCATAAATGCTTTGAATTGTTCTTTACAAATCTTTTGATTATATTTTGATGAAAAACATTTCTTCTGATCCCTTGACCAATGCCACCAGTCCTTAATGTAAGCTTTAAATTGTTTTGCTGATGTGGGTCATGTGGATACAGATTTCCTGTTGATTTCAATCACTGCAACATCAAAATGAATTAACTCTTAGGTGCTTGTTTTTAACTCAAAGTAGTCTGTGGCAATTCCTTCATAAATTAATAATGATCCTTTCATTTGATATAACGCCTCATCACGTCATTGAGAAGTCTCAAAGCACTTCACAGAATATAATGTAAAATGGATTGACTATTTTGTGGGTGAAATTATGTTTTATTCCGTCCAGTGCTATTTATTAACTCCCATTTGAATAGAATTCCTAAATTAAGCTTGACATTTGCATATACAGGCTTGGCCTAAACTTAAAATTTCCCAAGTGTTCAGTATTCTCAAACTGTTACTGAACTTTTCTAATGCAATTCTTAACTCATATAAAACGTCTGCAGCATCAATCGGATTTTAAAATTTGACATCAGTTTGACCGTGACTGTCTGTACTGATTGCTCACTACTGCAGGATTCATTCTGCAGGAATTTATAAATGATCAGCTCTTGACATTGGAGCTTAAGTAAACTAGATGATGAAACAAAATATGCACTTTGATTGTATAAGGTCTCAAAGTACAACATACAGTGAGTTTTTTTTTAATATATCTGTGCAAATGCAGCAGCTAATCTGTGCCAGCGATGCCCTACAATGAGTTACATGACAATGTTATGTTCTTTTTAAGTGAACTTTATTTAATAAAAACAGATTAATAAAACAGTATGCAGATTCATTGGACATAGTATAAAATTATCTGAAGCAATAAACTCAGACAGCCCTTGGTTACATTAAAATATTAAAAATCCCAAACCTCCATTGTGGATCGAGTTCAAGATCCTCATTCTCATATTCAAATCCTTCCAATCTCTCCCCATCCCACCCCACCACCTGTGATCACATTCAACCACATTGAACCAGATGCTCCGTTGTTCCTGCATCATCTCCTGTAGCCCACCTTCGGGAGGTAGGCATCCATCCATTCTGCCCCTGCTCTCCAGAACTCCATTCCAGAAACCCTCTGACTCCCTTCCTCCCCTTCTTCAAGGCCCATCTCAAAATACATCTTTTGGTCATCTTTACCCTCCCCACCCTTCCCCATCCCCCGCGACTCTCGCCCCCATGTCAAGATATCTCAAGTTGCCCAGCCAGCAATGTAGTGTGCTTTGATATGTTCTTCTGACATGAAACGTTGCTGTATAAATGGAGGTGGCATTGTCATGTTAAAAAAAATGCAGATTTTAACACTGTTAATAAGACAATTCACTCAATTTACCAGCTACAGTAATGAAATACTGCATACGCAATAGTGTACCGTTGAAATAAGTCCTTGACTTGCCATTGTTGCATCAGGCAATACAGGTGCAACTAAATGCAAGTTTAGTGACACTAAACTTGTACTTCTTTAGTGTATTTGTTAGGTGTTAGTTGTGTAAATTCCAACTTACTTATTACTTTGCACAAGTTGTATATGATACAGCAATTGTGCAAGTTTGCCTGCAGCTCATACTTCAGATGCGTCATATTAAATGTTATAGTCCCGACTGATATGACTTACGCAAGTTTTACTGTGGCTGAAAAATAAAGGCTGAGAATGATCTACAAAGCACTTGGCGTGTGCTTGCCACCCGCCAATGGATGAACCAAATTATAGGTATTTTTAATTCGCTGAACAAGGTTAGATTGCACTCATCCCCATTCAGTCAAATTAAAACGAATTGCGTTGCTCAAATGGGAACTGGAGTTGTTACTCAGATGATCCTAATTCCACCCCCACCCCAACACGAAGTCCCAATTCATCAAAGGACAACGCGGACCTGATTCTTTTTCTCACGACCACCCGAGCAAGTCAGATGACCAGATCATCTCTCTGGCCCGGGCAAGCCTGGCCTGAGACTTGCGACTGAGCCAAGGGCTCTAGCTAGTTCCTCATTCAATTTTCTCTGCTCCTCTTTGTGAGGGAGAATCGAACTCCTCAGGTCAGGCCTCTGTCAATCCCGATCGTGCCATCAGCAGGCCAAGGGCACAGCTCTCCCAACAGAAGCTCAACCTCCCATAACACATTATAGGGAAGTTCAGATCATGGAACGCTAAACATGTCCACACCTCAAAAGAAAAGCAGCTGCAGGCACATGGCCCAAGGAGTAACTCATAAGACCAGATACTACACTTGATCTTTGTTATATTGCTTTGAAAGTACATGCAATAGCCCCAATCACCCAACAGAGTATTCATGGAATACTGTGGAATCCAATCCTGACTTCCTCTGGATCTTATTTAAGTAATCGAGTCACAGTATGCCGAAGGCTGAGTCCATCTCCACACTAAGAAATCCTCTCCGTTTATCCTCTGTCCCTCAGTGCGAATCCGAGATTCATTCGATTCAAGAAATTTAACAGCTTTCTGCCAGACCTTCTTCATGTGTGACCTGACAACAGAAAATATGTAAAAATGTTCACTTTTTAACAAGTGCAATATCCGATAAATTACAATTGAACTCCTTTTCCAAATGACCCAAATTTGGAAGATTAGTAAGGAAGGGTTTCTGCCGATAATGGAAGCATATATTTATTTGTGTGTGCATGAAGCGCAGTGGGGGACGAGAGGGGTCAAAATCATTCATACTGTAGACTTTTCCTAGTTTTATTACATTGTGATTTCTCAAAATATATTTTTTAAATTGCAAAGACATACCTGTCTTCGGGAGGTATCAGAGTGTCACGAACATGTGGGATGGGTATGTAAGGCATCAATTCCAAATTCCTTTCCCAGTCTCGATTATGAGCATGTATGACACCTGTTTGAACAGGACAAAAATTATCTTCTTGGAACTCTCAGCCATGTGTATGGCCTACTGCAAAATAATTGAGACAAGTTTTCACCAATATGAAATGATAGCTGCTCGATGCCCATTTCTGCAGATCTGAATGGATGCCCTTCTGAATGCCTCACTAGTTTAGCTAAAGTATAGCGTTCACCTGCCTATTTCAATCCTAAAATATTACTTTTTTTTAAATCCACTTTTGGTGTAATTCAGGCGTCAGTCTGGATCAGTTGGTAGCACTCTCACCTCTGAGGCAAAAGGTTGTTGGTTCAAACTCCCAAGTTGGAACTTTGAACTCATAGTCTAAGTCCTAGGCAACAATCTTCCAAACATAATTTGTCATTCAGTTCCTGGCGTTCCATTGTAGGATAATTCTGTGCGTAAATTAGCAACCTACCATCACTACACTTTACACTGCAGCACTTTGAGACCTTCCAACGTGAAAGGCTCTTTAACAAGTACAATGATCATCATTTTTATTATTATTATTCATTGGAATATTTTGCAAAACAGCTCCAGAGGGAGGGTTAGAGGAGGATAAATCTGACTTGGTTTCTCAATTTGTTGTAACCTGCTGAACAGAAAGTTGCTCGGGTCACTGCAGTTCTATGCAATCGACCACAGGTGGAACATTACTGCTGTTATGGTCCACAGCACATACACAAAAGCTGCCAGTCTGGGGGAGAGGACAGTTTAATCAATCCATAACCCAATCAAATTTCCTTCACACACAATTTATCTAAAATCTATGAAAAAAAATAGCCTATAAACAGAACAGTGATTACTTGCAGTTGTTCATGATGCACATTACTAAACTACACTCCTCAAACTTTTTGTTTTAAAGAAAGTATACACCATACAATACCTATGATTTTGTTCACCATTTCATACACAGCGTCTTGTTGTTCTTTCACTTTTTTCGAACTGTACTTCAGAAATAGCAGCAAAATCCACAAAACACCTAAGACTTTAGAAAAATAAAGATTTACAGATGTAAACGATTCATTCTTCTTTATTATACAACAACCTAAGTGACCTGTTTTCTACAATAGAAATTAATTCAAAGATCAATTCTCACAATGGTAAAACAGTTTCTAAAATTTATAGTGAAACAACAGTTTATTATTATTATTATTTGGGTCTTGTCAATAGAAGGAAGCAAAATTAAAGACGAACAATGCACTTAGGAATTAGAGCCTAATTTTTCATAATTCAATATACTGATATGCAACTAAGAAGTAAGAAAGAGGAACTAATTAGTGGCAAATATCGAATAACTAGTTTAAAAATGTCAACTGTAGCACAGGTACCAAAGCTCGAAAGTAGTTTCAGTAACAAAACATATATACCAGTCACTGATAATCACTCAATTGTTCTATCAACTCAACAATCATTTCAATATTGTCTGTTATTTCATACACAGCATATTTATGGTAAAATGTTTTAAAAATTCTGATTGTAAGTGAATGAGATCATAACTATTGCACTATAATCAGATTAGTCAGGCCAAAATTCCAAATCTACAAATTAATGTTTGGCAATAAAAATTAAAATTTATTCTGGTACATACTCAAACATCAGAATACTAGAATTAGATGGTAAGACTTTTAATGAAATCCTTACACAGAGATATTTGACTATGGTGGATTTAGAAATCTGAAATAACTTATCTAGGCAATAATGGAAATGACACATCGTACCACAAAGGAGATCAGCATATTTTCCAAAAGGTTATTTACATCGAGCATCAAACATAAGACTCCCTGAAGGTTGATCTATTCTCTAGACTGTGTATAATACTTTGCATGCACAGATTACATACTATTGATTGAAAGAATAATCCTTATTAGGTCTAATATGCATATTAAATTACAGCGATTCGACTTACATAAATAGGTTTTATTGCTGTATACTCCTGAGTTCAAACAAAACAAAGTCATGGGATCGAACTTACACTGATTGCTAAAAATAGCCATTTTCTCGTTGGTCTTCACAAAGGGATTTTCCATCATAAAGAATTTGTGAAGCAATATGTATTTTTAGCTGTCTAAGTGAACTAACTGCCACGACCAACAAAGAGCAGTCCCGTGCTTCTGCTCTGGTTAACACTATGATGCTGTGTCAATTGGAAAAGTGCTCCTGTCCTCTTGCAATGTGACTCTTTTTACCATTATCCACTCACATACTTAGCTTGCTGGGAGTAATTTATAATTTGTTTTATAAAAGAATCATTCCATTAAAATCTAAAACATCAAATAATTTCTTAGTAGATATTCAACACTCCCACCCACCCCAATGACTTACCCAAGAGAAAGATTAACATTTTGTTCAGAATGGCAAAAAGTGCGAATTTAAGACGACAGAGAAAAGTCATTTGAGGGTGAGTAGATTCCAAGCACGTTACCAAATCTAAGGAAGTTACTGTCTCAGAGTGTTCACCAACTAATCTGTAAGAAAACGTACAATAGAATTAAAATCAATTCAGTGATTCAAATAATAAACCTTGCGTTTGATACAGTGCCTTATCACATCTTTGAGACATCTCAAAGCGCTTCACAGAATACACTGTATTGACTGTGTATTTTGTGGGCAAATCGTAGCATTTCAATAACTTTACAGAACGTGAGCTTCATTGTAGTGGCTAATGAGTATTCCTGAACTTAAAATGCATTTCACTGTGTACACCAAATGTCATTTGATTTTTGATAAGGGAACTGTGCACTGTGGAGAGAGACTGAAAGAAAAAAAATAACTCACCTAATTCCAATGTCCAATTTACTTTGAATGATCCACTGAAGTGCAACATCAAATTTGTGAGCATTAGAATTTATAATCTGATAAAATAAAACATGAAGAATACAAGAAATATATTTTATAGATAATACTGATGCACACAGTTGAAAATCTAGTTTTGTTTTTGCTGTTTTCAAGGCTGCTTTAACTACTTTTTCGAAACCAGATACTGCGTCACAGTACAGATAGTATCCTAAGATCAAAAGGAACTGAAGTCTTAGGCAATGCAGTATGTACAAACTTGACCCGATCTTGTAATCACACCATAAATATTTTTGTGCATTTTAAAATGTGTCCATTAAGTTTATTCTAAATTTCTATTCTTACATTCTTTTTACACAAACACGGATCCAGTAGTACCTTCGTGCTTCCAAATCCCTTCTCGGGTTCTGCCTTTAGTCTTTTCCGTGAAGCAACAAGTCATGCAAAGGTGTGTTCATAGGTTTGGTAACCTACAATCATGAGTTGCAAGAGTACAAATTCTTTCACTCAACCAACACATACCATATGCAGGTACTTTCTTTTTGGTCAGCCTAGTGAGTGGTCTGATAAGCAGAAACTCATCACCATACTTAAGAGTGGTTATGGAAGTTCAATGCAATTAATGCAATTAAATACAATTCTTTCCAAGAATCTACACTCGTTGAAATTGGCAATTGTCACCTTGTACTATAATTTATTACCCAGTATCAATGATGATGTATTATGTACAACATAAAAACTGCAAACAAATGACATGGTTTACTCCACTTAGCCAGGAACACTTTTTTTAAGCAAAGAAGTATCACTTACTGTTAAGTGTCTCTTAACATCAGCGACCAGCATACACTTGTGTTTCATTGGTGAGTGGTCTCCGCATTCAATTTCACCTGCAAAAATAGGTAAATGGGAAAAAAATGAATAACCTATTGACATCAAATGTCCAGATTTGCAATGATTTCCCTGTACCTTTGATTACCTACAAACTCACCTGCTCTTTCTGCCAAATAATCATACATTTGAGACAATAATGCCATCAAGACTTTATTTTCTTCGGATTGGCAAAACTGCAAAGGAAAAGAAACTCACTGAATGAAAATATTAACACTGTACATCTACTGAGGTGTATTGCCCTCTAGTGAGTGATTGACAAAACAGCAAATTGTATACAATCTCCAGAAACTGGAGACTCACATCATTAAGATCCATCCTGAAACTTTATGTACATAAAAGATTAATAGTTTACAATAAAAAAATTCTAGGATATACAAAAGTTAAATCAAGCAGATATTCTGTAAACATGTATAGCAACATACAATTATGTAGCGTCCGTCACACAGTGCATAATATCATCATTACCGGCTTATTACATACTTATTATAAGTAAATTAGTTAATAGAAATCATGAACATGAATTTGGTTCATTCACTTTTGTACAAAACATTTCAGTTATATAGATAGTGGGTGAGGGATCCAATGCTAGATTTGGTTCTTCTAGGTTCAATGTTGTACTTCTAATCAACTTCAACCATTTTTCAAAAATATGCATATAAACGATTACACTACAGCATTACTGTACTTACCGCGTCAGTTTTATTGTTGCAATCCATTGGTAACATCTTAACTGAAATGAGAGGAAACTCTAGATTAACTTAACTGAATCAAATGTGTAATAATAAATCTAAGTGTACAACATACTGTGGAGGATTCCTAATCTTTGTTTTCAAGTCAAAACAGGCCTTGATGTAATACAGACTTTGATGTAATAATATAGGAATTCGCTCTACACTATTGTATACATTAGTATTCTGCACACAGGTTATTAAGAAATAAATAGTAAAACAGAAATTTGCAATGAAAGTTGCAGAGCCACTGAATAGTAGGGTAGATAGGTATCTGACAACTGCATCTGGGCTGCATTGAAAAATAATGTATATAAAACTGAAGAATGGTATAGGTGTCTGAAACATGCAGAAACCATCATCATGCTTAAGAGTATCCAAACCAAACAGAATTCCATGCGCCCATCTATACATGGAGATTCCATGGGAATAGAATGCGCGCTCTCTCCTTGGATGGATGCCTCCTACTTATCTAATTGCGGAAAGTATTAGCCCCAAGGACTGGGGACCCCAGAGTGTGCGTTGGTGTAACTGCTGGGAGTCTAACCAGCTAAAAGTGCATAGCATGCCATTGTGAGGGCTCTGCCTGTCAAGTTTTCCAGCTGCTTGTCCGGCTGGGACCACCTTTTATCTGTTAGGACTTTGGCTTGCAGGGTTAAGAGTAGCTGAGTACGAAGAGTCTCTACCCTCAGTGGTAAAACCAAAAACAAATATTCTTCAGGCAAATGTCCAGAGAGTGAATAGAGTATCTGCGGGCTATTTGACTGGAGGAAGACGATACATTTTAGTTTTAAGTTTAGTATTTTGAATCCGCTTTGCTAGGAATGTTATGTTTCAATAATTGTCTGTTGCGTTTGCACATAAATGCTTAAATTATCTTTTCTGATGTCGAAATGTTTGAAGAATACTTTTGAAAGAATAAATAGATCAATAAAAAAGTCAGTGAATTTGATTTGAACCATCTAAACATTTACTCTTTCTACATTCTGGAATTGTTAAAAAAATGTTCAGGAATGTGAATGAAAACAAATTGAAAACACTGCCTTCTGTCTGCAACCTCTATTTGCTATATCACTGAAGAAAACTTCTCCATTTTATAATTGTATCAAACTCCCTTTTCGAGCAGTGCCTCAGGATCTTTTAACGTCCACCTGAACAAGGCAGACAGAACCTTGGTTTAATGTCTCAGACCTTGGTTTAAAACTAGTGACCATCCTCCTCGAAGGGAGGTAAGCGGAGTTCCTTGTAACTGAGCTGGTTCTAAAGTGATGTGCTTGGCAACAGAAAGTCAGAAGCAAATCAACCTCCTATGATAGTTTCGGAAGTCCAGTAACTGAGCCTCCAGGGAACTACTGCTACCAGTCTGACTGATTGACAAGACTTGGAGCGCAGACTGGAGACAGGGATTCTTCCCAGCTTCCTGTTGCTTGCCACCTAGCTCTTGGGCCTAGATGACAAGAACAGGTATGCTGTTTTAGCCAGTTAATCTGCAGTCCCAAGCCTCAATTCAGCCGTTTGCCAAACTGCGCCCAATATTCTCTGGAATGAGGTAAACAGGGTGTATCCCAGTGAGCATTCCAGATACAGGGCATTTTCCATGTAGATGGCTTACATGTAATATATGGAACTTTCAGTCTGCTCTGGATACTCTTAAGCATTGTGATGGGTTTCCACGTGTGTCAGACACCCAACTGACCAAAAGTAAGTCTACCTGTTCTCAGAATGCCTCTGACAAACCGCTTTAAAGAAACAAAAAAAAAATCACAGAAACAAAAGTCAAGTTTGTTATGGAATTGCACCAATCTCTGGGCAAGTCTGCGAAGACCACAAGACCAACCCTGAGGTATTAGAACCGATGGCACAAATGTTTGGCGAGCACTGAAGCCGATTCCGGGTGCAATAATCTCTCCAAAATAACAACCCGGTCACTCGATGCGCGACCGTTTGCGGGACACCGGTCGGTGCGAATCGGCTGCCGGGTTTCGCAGTTCACGTCACGGGAGACCGTATTCTGCGAAGCGCTTTGAGACTCTTCAGAGACGTGATTAGGCGCTGTACGTCAAATCAAATGCAAGGATTGCTATTATTATTATTATTATTATTAATATTACTACTTGGATTTTGTGTAACGCCGAATTATCCTCGCGCGCGTGGACAACGGGATCGGTCCCAACGAGTGCGGACAATCGCTCGCGCGGAAAAAAAAAGAGAGAGGGGGTCACATTTTGAACTAACTTAACTCTTTCGACGGCCGTCCTCCTGGTCACCTTCGGCTAACCCTAAGGTCTTAACGCAGACCAACCCGAGCAGAACAAGCGCGAGGAGACAGGTGGCGATGCACAGAAACCGTGACAGGTGCAGCTCCAGTCGGTCCCGCCGGCTCTTCCCCTTCGGCGTTTGCCGGACGCCATCCGGTTCGTCCCCAGACAAACGGCCGAGTCCGGGGGGCGCGGACGAGAGTCCGGCAAACGGGCCGCCGGCTTTCCCGGTGAGACGGTCGCCGGCGAACGGGCCGTATTTGCTCTTGTAATCGTCGTCGTCGTCGTCGTCAACCGATGGCCTCGTGTAGCGGTCCCCGGCGGTTAGAGTGCTCGGAGCGCTCGCGTACTCCTGGCCCAACGGCCCCCAGTAGCGATCGGCGCAGCCGTCCCCGTACGAGCGGGTGCGGCCGGTGTCCGCCCACGGCCCCAGGGAAGAGCCGCCCGCGAACAGGCCGCCGGGTGTCCCCGCGTCGCGGCGCTCGGCCGAGGGACCCTCAGCTTCCCCGCCGCCCCAGCGATCGTCCTCCAGCAGGCGGAGCCCGGTGCCGGTGTAGCTCGAGGTGCCGCGAGGCTCGCCCTGGGCCTGCCGGGCCGGTGCGCCGAGGAAGCCCGGGGCGCTCAACCTCTTCCTCGCCGCCAGGCTGCTGCCCCGCTCCCTCACCCTCTCCAGCCTCTCCTCCGTCCGCAGCTGCTCCAGCCTCCGGGCGTACAGGGACCTGGTGCTGTCGGTAATCGGCCCGGGGGAGAAGCCCAGGCGCTTGAGCTCCCGCCGAAGCTTCTCGTCGCTTGCGGCCGACGCCATTTTGGGGGGAAAAAAAATATCGGGAGCGCGCATGCGCACTGGGTTGCTCTCTCTCTCTTCCCCCCCCCCCCCCATCGCATGAGGAGCATGCGCACTTTGAGCGCCTCGGCGCCCGCTCGGAGCAGACGGCGCATGCGCGAGTGTGCCACGCCCCCCCTCCCCCCCCTCCTCTCACCTGTTGCACTTGATACAATCACAGCTGTTTTGTCCTCTCACACCTGTCTTCATCCCCAATCCACCACCACCGCCACCACCACCACCACCGCCAACCAGAAGAAGAAAGCCCAACGATGTGAGGCTCGTGACGCTTAATATTTACTTAATATGTTGGGTGAAGCGCTTCGAGACTCCTCGTTGACGTGACGATACGAATCCTTGCGTTTGATAATAATAATAATAATAATAATCCTTGCATTTGATATAGCGCTTTTCACGTCGGGAGGACGTCCCAAAGCGCTTCACAGAACACACTGTAAAGTGAATTGACTGTATATTTGTGGGCGAACGCGGCAGCCAATTGGGCACAGCAATGTCCCACAAACAGTCGTAGATTGAAAATGACCAATTTAATTATTGTTTTTAGTTTTGGAGGGATTATTATTAGGGCTCTGTGTGGAGTAAGGAAAGTTGCCCAAGGTTTCGTCCTGCCTGGAATTGAACTCAGGTCTCTCACTTGCAAAGCGAGTGCTCTAACCACTGAGCTACAGGACTCCACAATGGTATAATGGACTTGATATAGCGCCGCACCACGACTGCGAGGCGTCGCGACGCGCTTCACAGAATGTACTGTGCAGTGAATTGACGGTATATTTTGCGGGCGGAACGCAGGGGGCTCCGGGCCTGCTTCACGTCCCCCGTCTCGCCCGCCCCACCATTGGCAGGTGGGCGGGCCTTCTGCCACTCTTGCCCCCCCACCCTCTGGAACTCCACCCCGCAGTCCTTCCTCCTCGCCCACTCCCTTGCCCCCTTCAAAGCCCGTCTCAAAACCCTCCTCCTCGACCGTGCCTTCAGTCACCCTCCTCTGGCTCAGTTGAGTGGCAGTGTGTGGTGAAGAAAATGTTTTGTTTGGGGAGTTCTCAGAGCCACTTTATTTTAATGTACTGGAGAAAGGGCAACTTGTCTTACCGTGACCTTGATGCAGGATTCTTACAATGAATTAAATGTCAAAACTATAAGACAGGAGAAAAACAGAAGCACAGAGTTGCTATGATTACGTAACTTTATTAATTACTAAGTGACAATCAATGATAATGTTCCATAAATCTTCAGTTGCAGCATTGAAGGATCTTCCAGCTGTGATCTTCTCCACGTCATTGGCCTGTTTATTGAAAAAACCACAACGATTAAAAATGTTTTCAGTAATTTGACATTTTATTATGGTTATGAATACCTTTGATAATTTGGCATTGTGACCTATTATGTCATCGTTACTGCTTACCTGATTGAGGTCAGCCAACTCAGTCAGCAGAATCCGAGATTTATCAACTGAGTCTTCAGAAGAGGTAGAATCTATTTATTAATTTTGTTTTCCACCCATAAAAAAAGAATGTTTGTCTTGTAATATTTTGTATCCCCAAATTGGTATTAATCTGTACACAGTAGCATGGAAATGTAACGTTTTTTTCTATCAATCTTTTGACATTAAGATCAGATTCCTAAAAATGAAATGAAACCTGTCTTACCATTGGTGCCTTCTGACAAAATTTCACCCACAAGATTTTCATATTTCAATAACTGTTTCGCGTTCATTTTGACTCCAACTTCCAAAGGAACACAGACCTGAGCACAATTCGTCAAGAAATAAAATCAGTGTGTGAACAAATAATAGTGAAACTGTATTCTGTTTTATTTGATCAACCGATTTCTATTTATCCTTATTATAGCAGTCCATCTCTAAGGCTGTATGACAAATGTAATCATTTTCAATATTACCAAATGGAATCGACTTGCCTGTTTATTTATACTGCAGTTAGTATATTTTGTAATGATGTCGTTGCTGTTATAGATCTATGTACAGGCATTTTAAGCAGGTACATGCCATTATCATAATAATAATAATCCTTGCATTTGATAAGTCTTTCAGCTGTCTCAAAGCACTTCACAGAATATACTGTAAAGTGTATTTTGTGGGTGAAATGTGGCAGGCAATTGCGCACAGCGCCACAGTGCCACAGTGTCCCACAAAAAATTGTGGATTGAATGACAAAAGTATTATAATTTTTTTGAAGGGTTTATTAGCCCCCGGAAAAACAATTCTCCAATCGACTAACAACCTACTTACTGTTAGGTCAGTAAAGTAAGGAAACTTGCCCAACATTTTGCTCTGCCCGGGAATCAAACCCAAGTCCTCCTGCGAGGACGCTTGCGAGGCGAGAGCTCTAACCACTAAGCTACAGAACTCCATATTGGTCTTATTAAATACCCTTACTATCTCTTCTGCGGTCTCATCTCTACCCAATCCTTCTGGGGAACCATTTTCTTCAGATCTCCGTTGCAGGTTTTCTGCCATATTTTTCTCCATTCTTATTCTGTTTTTGGCCTTTCAATGAAAGAATAGTAGTAAGTAATAAACAATATAGCAAGTAGCATCTTTGACACATTGAATACAACCTCTGCAAAATTAAATTCCACTTTGTTACAGTAATGCACCTGTTTGAATAATATCGTTTAACCACCACTTCTCCAGATGCTATAGATTACAAGCAAGAACTGGCCTAAAATAACATTTGTTACAGCTTAAGTAGACCTGAAATTCTGCCCAACCTGAGCCTGCAGGACTTTTTGGTCTTAAATTGAAGATTGAGCAGGTTTGTGAATAATTGGTCATCTCAGCCTTAATTTGGGAAATTGTTCTTTTAAGGGAATTGTAGAAAACTAGCATCTATTTTAAGACTGGATTTTTAAAAGATTTTTCTTCACAATTTCAAGGAAATTGTGCATTTCAAGACAAATTGATCTTCCACTCCAAGACTAGGTGAAATTTGGGGCAAGTGTTTAAACTGTTTTCCGCCCTTTGGAACTCCATCTCACAGTTTCTTTGCCTTGCTCCCTCCCTTGCTTCCTTCAAGGTACGTCTTGAGACCTTCCTCTTCAACTGTGCCTTCGGTCACTCTCTTACCCCCGCCCTCCCTGCCCTCCACCCCTGATCCCAACCCCTGCTCGGGTAAAAATCCCTGATTGCCCAGCGTCTTGGGACGAACTCCCGACATGAAAGGCGCTATATAAATGTAAATTGTTGTTGTTGTTGAAAATGTTTTCATACAATTATCTTTTGAAGATCAAATGGGCTGAGGAAACTCAGGAACCCCTCAGTCCTCTCTGCCAGCATAGCCACAGCACACACCACCAGGAGGCTTATGATTACTCGCTTGGAAACCATCTTCGAAGCTGAAAGAAAAGAAAATGTTAACGAACGAGTGAAAGTGCTACATTTCAATATTTCTTCTAAGGGAAGCATTATCCAGTTGTTTTACAGATGCCTCCTATTACGAAAGCTAAGCTCTTCATTTATACCAAATACCCAAGTAGCTTTTGCTTCAAAACAAACCAGATTTCTGAATTATAAATAAGTAATAATCAACAGTAATAATTCCACCTTAAAAGTCGGAATCAGTCTTTTACTTTAATCTTGCACAGTATTTCAGGTGATTCTGGAAATATTGACATTTGTGTGCAGTACAGTACAAAACTGGCTAGTGCACAATAGAAAATGAACAAATAGTTGTTGGTGTAAGCTTCATTTTTTATTCTCTTGCAGTGATTCAAATTGAATAGCGTGTTGGCTGTTCTCTGAATCTACATTTGAAACCATATCATAGAATCATAGAATGTTACGGCATAGAAGGAGGCCATTCGGCCCATCGAGTCTGTGCGGCTCTTTGACAGAGCAGCTGACTTTTATTAACCCCACTCACCAGCTTTCTCCCCATAACCCTGCAAACCTGTCTTCTCCAGATACCTATCCAGTTCTCTCTTAAAAGCTGTTATCGAATCGGACTTCACTGCCCTTTCAGGCGGATCATTCCAAATTCTAACAACTCGCTGAGTGAAAACATTTCTTCTAACCTCCTCTCTGCTTCTTTTGGTAGATATCTTAAGACTGTGACCACAAGTCACAGACACACCTACCAGCGGAAACAGCTTTTCCCTATCTCGCCTGTCGAAACCTTTCATGATCTTGAAGACCTCTATCAGGTCCCCGCGTAACCTTCTCTTCTCTAATGGGAAAAGTCCTAACTTTTCCAGCCTGTCCTCATAGCTAAGCTTCCCCATCCTTGGTATCATTCTCCATATTGGCAATTGTTAAAAAAGGAATTTACATTTAACTTCATCTACATTCAACATCTTTCCCATTCACATTCTTTGGTCACCTTGTCCCAAGACGATCTCTTACAAATTGCTATCAAAAATAAATAGTTCACAAATTGCAACTGACATTTACAGGCACAAACAATGAATAAGTAATTTGCAATTAAAATTGGTATGTTGTTTACTTGACTAAATCTAACCGTGTGCAAATGTACACTCACACATCCTTAACATATAGATATTGAAATGTAGCACTTACTGTTTTGAGGTTGAGTCAGTTCTGTTGAATAGAGCTTTCTGATTGAGCTAACTAACTTGCTTGGCTTTTATATAGCAGATGAGTGTTTATTTTGAACACTCTTCTGAAAATAATGCTTCCATTAAAATATTTGGTGTTCATAGAAACAAAAGAGATCTCATTCTCAATAAACTCTTTACAACCACATTGTTACAACCAGTATTATTTATAAGTTTTGGTTTCTGAGTTATTCAACTGTGACAGAATATGATAACATCAATAATATTGCCTTCTTCAATGTGCATTGATAAATGATCTAGTCAATAATTGTGTCATATTATTTTTATGGCTCTCTGCTTTAGCATACTAAATATCTAACCAAATGTCACGGGCTGTTTTCTGGTGTCGATAATTCCATGTAGACAATTGCAATATCACTTTTTATTGAGGACAATTCTGAAATACAGAACAACATTGTAAATAAACTGTTTTTCTTATCAGTCTAAATAGTTGGGGGAAAAACTACTTCACAAAAAAAATAGAAAATTAAAATAAAATAGTTGTCACCTCCAGCTGGATCGAGGCACAATGTATTTTGTCTGAAGTTAGTTAAAAAACATTATTCCTCAAAATGACTCCTCGCCTTTATACTATAACATATCACTGTATGCTGCTAATACTCTTCCCATTAATTACAATTAATCGCAAATTTCATTGCAGTCATTTTGCTTTTTGTTGCCCAAGTTCCATGTAAAATTCTGTATAAAAATTCCAGCAAAGCTGCTGTATTCCCCTTGAACAATCTGGTTACAAAACCAATCAAAGTAATTTATTTTCACGAAGGACTCATTTACGAATGGCAGTTTTGTGTTCAATATCATATACAGAACATATTTCTCCTCAAATCTTTTTTGAAACTCTCCATTGATATTAAAACGGCATTTAAGGCTTTCCCATATCTATTGAGTGCCAAAGATCAGATGGTAGAACTTTAAAACCACAGAATATTTTGGCTACAAGTGGGCCAACATTGAAGAAATAGCAGCAATATAGTGGGAAATATAGTGTTACTTTTTATTGCAGCATTAGCGAATATTGCACGATTATAAAATAAGATCCCTTAACCCTTAATGCCTTTGAAATAAAGCGTACCACAACCTTTCCTACAAATAACTGCAATAAATACAGTGACTGCTAGGTGATGACTGAATTACAGTGGCTTTTATTAGTACCATTTAAGAAGTGATTACACAAATCAATGATATTTGAGATATATAGTCAAAAGTTTGTACGCAAGTCTTTCTCCACATTATGATTTTGTTAGTAGTTTTTCCTCCACAGAATGTTTTTGGCTGATAAAAGCAACTGGAAGAAGTAGAATTGGCTTCAATAAACCTGGTCTAGTGATGGGGAAACACAAACAATTAGTATCCCTGGTCATGATCGCTATAATTAGCACTGATAGTGATGCTGTAATGCGTTTCATCTGTGTATATTGGGTGAAGACAAGGTCATCCTCAACTGTGATGCCCTCTGATTAAATAGCCTGACACCAGTTCCAGAGAGCTGGAGCCACAATGGCTGAAAACGTTCCCATCAATTGTTGGGTGGTTCGGTGGAAAACATGAAACAGACACTTTTCACCATTGCTGCTTACACTTTTCCTGTCTGATTATCTTCTGACGGTTTCAATAAACAATATATTGAACAGAAGGTGTTCAAATGCGGTGGGATGCTCGCTGACCCTTTTAAGTAACATTAAGTTACATTGAAATAACAAAAAAAATTGGTCACTCAATCCACGACTGTTTGTGGGACGCTGCTGTGCGCAATTGACTGCCGCGTTTCGCCCACAAAATATACAGTCAATTCATTTTACAGTGCATTCTTTGAAGTTCTCTGAGACGTCTCGAGGACTTGATAAGGCACTATATGAAACAAAGCAAGGATTATTATTTTAATATTTGCTAAATTATTGTTTAATGTTTTAGGGAATAAAAATAAACCTCTATTCGCCTGGCCCTAATTAATTTTGTCATCTTCCTAATACTTTTTTATCTGCTTTTAACAGATTGATCTACATGTTTGTGCATACATCCTGCTTTAGGCAGTGGTCAGGGATTATGTGTCCTGTGCTTTGCTGCATGTGACTGATACCATTTACAGTTGATTAGATGCTGTCAGTGTCTAAAGTCTTATCCTGTTCAAGAAGCAATGTATGAATCTCATTAGAGGATGAAAAGAACCTTAAATCATCTGTCACCTGCATTTATCTCCTACCTCGCCCACAAAATATACAGTCAATTCACTTTACAGTATATTCTGTGAAGTACTTTGAGACATCTCAACAATGTGATAAGGCACTATATCAAATGCAAGGATTATTATTATTATTACCTCCATCTATCCTTTGTAAATTAATTAGGAGTGGTTAATAATGATACAAATGTTATTACAGCTTTGAAAGAAAAACAGGAAGCTGCAGTTTTATTGACTTGCAGTTCCAATTTATGAGCATAAAGGAGTATAATCTTGGTTACAAAAGAACAATGTTTTAATGCTGAAAAAATACCGACAAAATGTTATGTTACTCTTCAAATTCCATTATCAACTCTACAAATATTTCAGTGTAGTTAAAAGATGAGACGATTAATTACTCTTTTGCATCAATGGTACCTCAAGTCATAGGTTTTGCTTGAAGGCTGGGTATAAGGAGGAGGCATTAATTGACTTTTCCTGGGGAAAAAAAGGGTTAAAACATTGATTAATTGATACAATTTTGGAGAAAATATGACTCTCACGGTCAACAAATATTGGAAAGGATTCAGTTCGCTAGTCTTGTGATTTACAAACAAGGAACAAGTAGATTAGCACTATCAATTTCAGTCCTTATTTCATTTCAGTCATGAGAAACAATATCAGAGTCATTCGGGATCGAGAGAGAAGGTGTTCTGAGCTCATTAAGATAAGTATTCTTCTTTGGGGCTATTGAGGTTAGTTGATTACTGTTATTAAAGTGACCACCTGACTTTGTTTAATAAGGAACATTAAAACTTCTTACTTCAACTCCTATTTATATTCTGTGAAGCACTTTGAGAAGTTTCAAAGACGTGATAAAGTACTAAATTATATACAAGGATTATTATTATTATTATACAGTGATTAAGGCTTCTTTCTTGGTTGATAGACATCTGAACTCTTTCCAAGATATTTCCAATCGCTGCAAAAGGAAATTATAACTACATTGGAAGTCACTTTGTAACATATATTTGTAACTATATTAGGCTCTCAAAACACCCAAAACAACAACAACAACAACAAATCACACTTGTATATAACACTTTTCACCTAGGGCAAACATCGCAAAGACCAAGGAGGAAGGAAGCGGGGGAAGAGAGGGGTGGGGGGGGGGAGGGGGTTGCTGGAACTCAAGGCTGTTCGTCAATGGCTCAGGAGAAAAAATATATTGTAAAAGGTTTTTAAGACCTGCAGGTAACTGGCTTCCAAATGAAATAATTTAAGGATTTTTCAAAGGTCATTATGACGTTTAATTATCCTTCATAATGTGCAGACATCGAGACAGCTACAGGCCATCAAGGAGATTGGATCAGATTCAGTGAGGTTCCTCCAAGACGCTTAAGTTCAGCCTGTTAAAATGCAATTGTGCCAAGACCATCTGTGTTAATCATCGTAACAGCTGACTAAAGTTGCTGTAAATCTTGTTACACCATCTTGTCAGTTACAGTTTTACTGGAACAGGCTAAATCTGCTAATCAACATATTAAAAAGACAATATCCAGTCAACATGCAGGATTTTAAATTGTACAATAAAATATTTGAGTGTATGGAATTGCTTTGTTCTAGTTTTATTAAAAGCATCTTCCAATTTCAAGTCGTTAGAGACTAAATGTATTTTAGTGAAACCGGTTTGCAAGTACTTCAGATCATTTAGAAATACTGCAATTTGGGGGATAATTTGGGCATCTTAAAATAAATGTCAATACCTTGATCTTGCCACATTTTGTTTTAAATTTTCTTTTGTGGTACAGAAGGGCAATTGCAAACCTCAAAGTGTTAATGTGTTTTAACACGAGCCTTCTGCAGAGCTCCACACGGTAGGCTAATATGGTGCTTATAGTGCAAACCCTTCTGCATACAAGTCTAACCCAGAATACTAGTCGATCACAAATCTAAATGCTTCATTTGGTTTAACATCTCATCTGAAGACCAGTATCTCCATTAATGCATCACTCCCCCAGCAGTTCATTGAAGTGGCAGCTGTGATTTTACATTCCCAACAGTGATCAGAACCCATAAGCTACACACACATGTGCACTACCTGTCATGGCAAATCAAATTCTGTTATCTTTGTACGCTTAGTAACACCTTGTTTATTTTCTATTTTCTTGTTATTTTGCCTGCTCTATTAAACTCCAACCACCACATTTCATTTCCTGGGAATTAACAAGGGGTGAGATTCTGAATCGGATCGGGTATGCAATCATTGGCAAATATCCAATCAAAATTTTGTCTTCAAAACTAAAGAAAACATTGGTAAAATACTCTAATGCAGCTTGTAATAAGTGCTGGTACTGTTTCTCCTAATCTGGGTTCAGATACATTAAAGGTTTCAGTATACATCCTGCTTTAGACGACCAGAGACTTGAGTTGTGCACCAAATTAAGACTGGCGGGTGATAGCACTTTTTTGATCAGATATTGTCTCTGCCGGTCGATCTAATCCTGTTTAGAAGGAAGAGTGTGAATCTTGTTATGGGATAAGGAGAGTTTACTGTACCATCTGGTACTATTAATATTAAGGTCCCTAACCTAATGCAGTTGGCTGCCACGTTTCACCCAAAAAATAGAGTCAATTCACTTTACAGTATATTCTGTGAAGTGCTTTCTGACATCTCGAAGATTTGATAAGGCGCTATATCAAATGCAAGGATTATTATTAGGATTATCACCTTTGCTTTTTCAATATCAGGCTGTTTTTATTAATTGTGTCTCTGATGTAAATATATATATAATAGGCATGAAAAAAACCAAATTTTCTGACTCAACGTATCCTCTACTGAACAGTCCATATTTTCTCTCAAAGAAATACAAGCCAGACTCACTCAGCGCCTCACATGAACTGTGTCCTAAAATAACTGTAAATAGAAGCTGTATCAATGCTGCTTTCTGAATTCACTTACTGCAGTTAATTAATGTTCCCCCAACTGCCCTAGCTGCACATGTGAGACTTTCTATCAATTTTAATCAATCAATATGTAATATAGGAAATTAACCTTTCCGAAATTGTTTGAATAAAACGCACAATCATCACCCAAAATTATTGCAGGTCCAATGCACAATTATCAATCCTTTTTCTGTAAAATCACTCACATTCAGTTGGGATTTAGTTTTGCTCGTTTTCTTTCCACTTCCGTTGTTGATTCATCTTTGAGTATTGTATAAGTGATCCAGGACGCTAGGCCGCGTGAAGGGCGCTGTATAAATGCAAATTGTTGTATATGGCTTTACAGTGTATTCTCTGAAGCGCTTTGAGATGTGAAATGACATGAAAAGCTCTATATCAAACGCAAGGATTATTATTAACAATAACAACTTGCACTTATATAGCGCTCCTCACGCAGGGTAGTGCCCCAGAGCGCTTACATACAAGAGGCTATAAGGCATCAACTGGATTAGGGAGCGCAAGTTTCTTAGCCATGACACTTGTTCAGGAGAATTAGTTGACAGTTGCTTTAATTGTTTTAATTGTTTTAGCTTGTGTCAGAAAATCTGAACATCTTACTGATTCAATCTAACCTGATGGATACGTGAAGCAATGGAATTGGCTGAAGTATTGAAAGAGATGTTATCGTACTTTACCAATTATTTCACACATTTCTGTTACAAACAAATCAAATAAACATTGCCAAACTAGACTAATAGCTTGATAAACATTTGTGTACATCATGAATTCATATTTTTGCAATTACAACTGATCATAAAAAGTTCTACAAACAAATTCATTAAAAGGTGAACACAAATATTGGGCTGATACTGTATGGATCAGCATTTAAATAAAAAGGTTTGATTTTGAATTGTCAGCTTTCAGAATCGTAACGTTCAACTGAAATGACAATTCTAGGAGTAATTTAAGGTTATATAGGCCACAAAGCTTTAGCACAAGGAGTCAGGAAAGTGGTCCCTGGTACCAGGTTAACATTAATCGATCATAAATGGTATTGTGACCGTCTCATTATGGAAGAAGTCTGATTCAACGAAGGTTCATTTCCCACAATCAAAGGACTGCTCACTTTAGTGGTTCAGTTCCATTTCAGCGTTCACATTTCACACCTCCGCTTTAAAACGCACAGTGAATTTGTATCGTGAAGCTAAGCAAATTCTATCAGAATGCACTGTGTATAAATTATTATTCTATCAGAATGTACTGCGTATAAATTATTATTCTATCAGAATGTACTGCGTTTAAATTATTATTCTATCAGAATGTACTGCATTTAAATTATTATTCTATCAGAATGTACTGCGTATAAATTATTATTCTATCAGAATGTACTGCGTTTAAATTATTATTCTATCAGAATGTACTGCGTATAAATTATTATTCTATCAGAATGTACTGCGTATAAATTATTATTCTATCAGAATGTACTGCGTATAAATTATTATTCTATCAGAATGTACTGTGTATAAATTCTGCAAATTGTATTATCAGATTTGCATTCGGCAGATCTGTTAAAATAGTTGATGCATTTTACAGAGACCCACGTGACATAACCAGTAATCATTTTAAACACATTTACTCCACATCATAATATAATCGAACCCAAACGGAGGGAACGTTCCGATCAGTGGACGCAATTCTAATTATTTTACAAGATAAGAAAGAAAACATTACAATATTACAAGAAAACTCCACCCACTGCTTTTTCTCGATTTTTAAAGAGACTGAAGTTGAGGAGAAACTGATCATCACTCAATAATTCATCTGAACAGAAACCGTTTCAAGTTGTATTTGATTAAAAATCCATTTGTGTTATTTGTATTAACCCAGTTAATTTGCATGTGTGTGCACGTTTATTGATTAAAAGATGCCACAAAGCCACCGCGTTGAAAAAATACAGAATCATTTCGAAATATTGGTTTACAATGATCAAAAAACATTACGGTGCTAGAAGGTGTTCAGACTTTCCAACACACTTTTGGTAAGTTGGCAAAACGTTTATATGAAAAATACTTGAATGGAAATACCTTAACCTTAAATAAGCTTAACCTTTAATGCCTTAAAATGATAATAATAATTAGGTCACTCAATCCACCACTGTTGTGGAACGCTGCTGTGAGCAATTGGCTGCCTCCTTTCACCCACAAAAGATACATTAGGCGTACAGATCTGAGACCCACATACATCCAAGATATATTTTCCACTAGAATTTCCAATTCCTATCAATGAACAAATAATAATATTTACCTTTTTCATAATTCTCAGGCGTGTGAATCTACTGGAGCAAAATAGGGTTTGCTTTAATAATAATATTAATTGTCCTTGCATTTGATATAGCGCCTTATCATATCGTTGAGATGTCTCAAAGCACTTCACAGAATATACTGTAGGGTGTCTAAGTGTCGCTTGTATATTTTGTGAGCAAAACGTGGCAGCAGTGTCCCACAGTCACTATAAAAATAAAAATATGAGAGGAAATATGTGCTTAACCATTAGTTCAGTCCCAAGTTTGGGGTTTGTGGTCCTGAAGGCCGAAAGACTTAAATATAAGGTTTATTCACACATCGAGATGTTCATTGAAACATTTAATTTCCACGTCAATTGAAATCCCCCCGCCCGGATGACAAAAAGTCTTAAGAGAAAATAAAGAGCTTTGCACCAGGTTTTGGCAAACAATCTTGCTTAATCGTACTTAGATTGGCAATTCCTTTAAAGCTTTTTGCCCTTGCCCCTAATCCACGGCGCTGCTTAAAAAAAAAGGGTATAAAACTAATCCAAGAAGTCAATAAATTGCGCTTTATGCTGAGAAACCTTCCAGTCGTCTTCTAGAATAGTTGGAACGTTTACCACCCTCAAGTTATATTTTCCTCAGTGCTCGTGATTTTTTTTTGTTAAATATGAACGGCACAGAAGGGAGTAATTTTTACATCCCTATGTCCAACAGGACTGGTGTAGTTCGCAATCCTTTTGAATACCCGCAGTATTACTTGGCTGACCGATGGCTGTTCTCCTCGATTTCGGCTTACATGTTCCTTCTCATATGTGCTGGGCTACCAATCAATGGCTTGACACTGCTGGTGACAGTCAAACACAAGAAGCTCAGGCAGCCTCTAAATTACATTCTAGTCAACCTGGCTGTTGCCAACCTGGTCATGATCATGTTCGGATTCGTGTTAAGCTTCTACACGACCATGAACGGTTATTTCATCTTCGGGCCAATCGGCTGTATTTTTGAAGGTTTCTTCGCAACGCTGGGAGGTAGGTGCAAAAAAAAAAATGCGTAGCGCACGTCTGAAATATATCCGCAAAATATGCAGTCGATTGGCTTTGCGGTGTATTTTGTGAAGCGCTTTGAGAACTTTTATCAGGCGCTATGTATATCAAATGCAAAGATTATTATCATCTGTGAAAAGCTGAGGTTCCCTCCACTGCCAAGAAAGAGCAGTGAAATGTATGACTGCATATTCCAAACACAAACTAAATAATTTACTCCAGTTTAGATTGGGCGTTGTTAAATATCGAAAAATGTTGTTGTATCACGTTTTGATTGCCAGCTCAAACTGGTGCGAAGTATTACGGTAGAGAGAACGTTATTCCGATAAAAGACCAATGGATCTCCACAGTTATCTGTCTTAACGTTTTCCTTTATTGTTTTTTGCCCTTCTCCCTGTTTGCCTCTCTCTTATGTTATTGATGTCTCTCTACAGGCCAGGTAGCCCTCTGGTCTCTGGTGGTTTTGGCCATAGAAAGGTACATAGTGATATGCAAGCCAATGGGCAACTTCAGGTTTGGGACGTCTCATGCTCTAATGGGAATGGGCTTCACGTGGTTCATGGCTCTAACGGCTGCAGTGCCCCCACTCGTTGGCTGGTCCAGGTGAGAAAACAAAAAACCCAAATCCCCATCGAGGCAAGTATTTCACTCGAGCTGTGAAATATGAAATAGGATATACAAAATAAGGCGCTGGTGTGCACAATTGGCTGCCGTGTTTCGCCCACAAAGTGTACAGTCGATCCACTTTACCACGTACTCCGTGAAGCGCTTTGAACAGTCTCGACGATGTGATAAGGCTCTATATCAAACGCACAGATTATTATTATTATTAGCAGATCTTTACGTCAAAATTGGTTCCCCTCAATAGTGTGGAAGTACTGCCTTCCTTACCTTCTCGCGTGTCGTGGCTCTCAATCAAAATTGAGAGTATATATATATGTATCAACTGAACTTTGTTTCTTAAATAACTCTCCCGCAAATAAAAGAACCCGCAAAGTATTTCGGGCAAGGCTTTATAAAAAGACACACATTCAAGTAAGGTTTCAATAAAGGCACATTTATCTCAGAGCACCCAGCCACAGAACACATTGCTACAAATTGGAAAACTTGGTAATAGATGACTTGGTGTGGAGGAATTGAAAAACAAGATACAAAAACAAATAAAATAATATGCAACACAAAAAGGACTATTGACTCTCTCAATGGCACCTTATACTGTGAACGTGCCTAGCTTTATGCCAGAGGGTTGTGGTCAAATCACACGCTAATTCTTTAGGTGTCAACCTGGCTCAGTTGGAAGCATTCTAAATCAGACGGTTGCTGAATTGTTGGAAATCCCATCCTTTTTGGATGAGACATTAAAGCGAGTTCCCCTGCCTGTTCACGTGGATGTTAAATATCCGACTGACACTGTTGTGAAAACATAAGGTGGGTTCTCCCCGAGTCTGAGAAAACGATTCTTCAAATAAAATTAGTCACGCACTTTGTAGCTGTTTGTTGGAAATTGCTGTGTTCCCCTACAAATACACAGTTACTACACTTCACAGCAAAATCCTTTCATTTGAGACAATGTGATATAAAAGGATTATGATGATGATGAGAGGTAACCCTCTTCTAGAAGTGATCATTTTGTGCTGCAAAATAGATACGCTTTATATTTTAAGAAGCTGTTTTTCTCTTTAGGTTCATCCCAGAAGGATTCCAGTGTTCATGTACTCCAGATTTCTACACCACGAATCCACTGTACAACAATGACTCTTACCTTATGTACTTGTTTAGCGTGCATTTTGCATTTCCAGTTACACTCATATTCTTCTCATATGGACGTTTAATCTGTAAAGTTAAGGAGGTAAGTCGCATTTCTCAAGCCGTTAACATGTCCTGCAGATTCTGTGGCTGCAAGCAGGAGTTATTATTTATTTTGCATGGCAATGATTTTCACTTATTTACTTAGTCAAAGAGAACATTTTTTTTTACAAGATGGGTTTTGAAAGCATAGAGGGAGAGAACCAAGTGGAAGAGATTCGGAGGAGCTTGATCAGAGACTGGATGAAAGCTTTAAAGGAAAGCTGAGGGGGAAACAAAACACCAAAGTTTTCAACAAATAAGATCATAATTTTTTGGTAGACAGCCATGCCATTTCAAATAGCGTGCAATCATGGTGCGTTCATCAAAACCTTGAAAACCTTAATAATAGGTATTAATCAATTATTGTGCAATAACTATATGGCCTGAATAGGCATTGTTCCTCCTCATCATTCAATGTATAATATTATTATTATTATTATGACAATGCACTCAATTATTCAGTTTTAAACATGTATTCGATGAGCTGGTGTATTTTAAGAGCATTTTTGTTTAGATGCAATAACATGGGAACTTGTTTCGTTCAGGCCGCAGCGCAGCAGCAAGAGTCTGCAACCACCCAGAAGGCAGAGAAAGAAGTCACCCGCATGGTCATTCTAATGGTCATTGGATTTTTGACCGCTTGGCTACCCTATGCCAGTTTGTCAATCTGGATCTTCACTCATCAAGGGGCATGGATTTCACCTCTACTCATGACTATCCCCTCATTCTTCTCTAAAAGTTCTGTGTTGTACAATCCAATCATCTACATACTAATGAACAAGCAGGTAAGAATGGAATACCTTAATTATTTCATTGGAGAGAAAGACCTTAAACCTCACAAATTCTGCCCACAAAATGTAAAGTCAATAATACAAATACAAAATATTAATAATAATACAAAATATCACAAAGTTAACAAACTAAAACCTGGGAAGACAAAGTTTTTTGCAATTTTTTTTTACTGGAAATCTCCCCTCAGTATTCCACTGCTGACGTTTGTAAGCTTACAGTGTCAAAGAATATGTTTGTTATTAGTCTTTTTTTTACACACTGCTGACTTTCTGCAACTCTTTTAAGCTATATTTGATCACTCAATCCATAATTGTTTGTGGGACACTGCTGTGTGCAATTGGCTGCCGCGTTTCACCCACAAAATATAGTCAATGTACTTTACAGTATATCCCGGGAAGTGCTTTGAGAAACCTGAATGGTGTGATAAGGTGCTATATCAAATGCAAGGACTATTATTAATGATAAGTAAATGTGTTAATAATCCATTGCATATTTTATTTCAACAGATCAAATGTAAAATTCTCACGGTTTTGAAAGTGGTTGTTATGAGATGGGAAGGTTCTTCATTAATTAACATTAATAGTTGACATTAATTAACATTAACTATTTATTAATAGTTATGCGAAATAATCATCACTTCCCAGCAGGGTGTTTGGTTATTATGCTTGAAATCCGTATACCTAATTTAATGTAGTCTACAGAATGACTCGTTGAATATACCAATCAGTGAAATATTAAATGCAAATTTCTCTTTTCCCCTCTGTATATTAAAAACGTGTTGAACTGGTTTCAATAAGGATAGTGCTTGAAATGCTTTTAGCTTAGCCGCAGTGCACAGACATACACGTACATCTAGTGATTCAGTTTCTGCAATCATGATTCAAGAATGCACAACATGTTTGCAGACATTTTACACGTATAAATGTGCAGATAATAGCAACAAATACAATTCAAGTGCCTCCAAATTTCTTTTTACATTTGAGATTTGAGAATTTTTTTTATTTTGCTGCATATTTGTGTAGAAATTGCGTGAAAACATTCTTTCTCACGCTTGTATACAAATCACTTTTTTATTTTCCCAAAATTGGAACAGAAATTCCTGTGGGATACCATTTTTTACACCAATATAAGATCCAAGGCTTGTGGTCCGGGAGAAATACTCTTCAGACCCACCCAAATATAATGTTTTGAAATTGTGAATGGTTCAGCTTTAAATTCACTTAAAAAGAGTTGTTTTGATGCACAAGAATATCTATCTGAATTGCCTTGTGGAAACTTTGCTTTCAGTTCCGTAGCAGTATGATCACCACAGTGTGCTGCGGCAAGAATCCGTTTGGAGATGATGATTCTTCATCAGTAACATCTCAAAGCAAGACAGAGGTTTCTTCCGTATCAACGAGTCAAGTCTCCCCGGCATAGGAACAACCGATAGTAGCAGAAAGACCGATTGAGATGTGTACAGTTCTTTATAGGGGATCTTAATGTGGACAATTGTTTGTAGGGGAACTCAGGTAGCTACTAAAATCCTTTTGTGTACAAAAAGTATTTTAATAATTATCTGAATTCCCCTATAAACACTCTGAACACGAATACGAACTTGCATACTGTGGAATGAACACGAACACAAACTTACTTATATTCTTAGAATCTACAGTAACAAGCATCCCTCCAAAACGGGTTATTATTGACCTTTGATCAATTTATTTGCTTATTTCTCACTCGCCCTTTTTGATTGGAAATCCATCCTTCATCAATAACGAACGATGGGTGGATTATGAGGTGTTAAATCTCACAACATTTCATTTGAAAAATCATATATCCTGGAGACAAAAATAATTTCTGGCCAATTTGATTAACTTTAACCATTGTTATACAGTTTCTACAATGTAGGGAGAAACCCCACTTCTTTTAAGAATACAAAAACTATCGGAGTACAGATATACAATGTATAAACAATGTGCTGTATTTGTGATACAGAAATCCAAATAATACTGATATTGATCAACAGAAACCAGGGATTATATTGTACATAGTTCCTCTTTCCACAGTATGCAAGTTAACACATTTCCGATCCATTCAACAAAGTCCTCTCTCTCCTGCCTGCGTTCTGCAAACATTTGTGCTAAAAATTAACAATGTAAAACTGCCTGTGCATGTGCATGTCGCCCTCACTGTATATTTTTTATATATAAACGGTATTTATGCTATGAAGATAATTTGTAAAGTTGACATTAGTATTTAGAAATAAAAACTTGCATCACAAGTTTAATGCGCGATTCTTATCATTTGCATACGGTGTGTGCATAGTTCTGAAGTTTTGATTTTGCTCAAGTTCATAAAAGATCAAACTAAAATGTTTCAATACTACTTTGGAATATAAATGTGCACCTTATTATTTACTTTGATGCACTCTTATCCAAACCCCTGACTGTTCAGCACCTAGGGACGTCCTCCCGACGTGAAAGGCGCTAAACAAATTTAATTTTGTATTTTTGTTGTATTTTCTTACCCTTTTGGACTATTGCAAAGGTTCATTTTTTTGTTTGCTTTAGTCTTGGCACATGTGGAAACAGAGACCATGCTTTAGAGCATCCAAACCAGACAGTTTCACATTTGCATGCCACCTAAACATGGAAATTTCCATGTCTGAAATCGAATGCGCACCTTCTTCCTGGAGGGATGCATCCTTACTGTTCCAGAGTATTAGAGACCCCAAAGTGTGCGTTGGGGGTGCTGCTGAAGTTTAATCAGCTAAAAGCACATAGCTTGTCCCTCCACATCTTGCTAACCCTGTATCAACCAGTCCACTCCTTCCGCTCAGCAGGTTGGCATTGCTCCACACCCCCCGCCCGGCTCACCCCATCATTGCCGGTCGAGCCTTCAACCTCTCTGCCCCCATTTTTTGGAACTCAATCCCAGAGTCCCTTCACTTCGCTCCCTCTCTTGCCTCCTTCGAAGCAAGTCTCAAGACCCTCCTCTTCGATCGCGCATTCGGTAATCCTCCTACCCCTACCTTCCTTGCCCTCCACACCTTCCCTGGTCCCAACCCCTACTTGGGTCCAGATCCCGGACTCTCCAGCATCTTGGTATATCCTCCCGACGTGTGCTTTACAAAATGTAATTTGTTGTTGTTGTAACGTCGCCACAGGCATCAGTCTCATGGTGATGTGTCGATTTGGAAATTGGCCATTTCTAAATCAGATCGGAAAGATTGAAAAATTAATTACAAATACACCATAAATGTCATTTTATCCATTGAGAATCAAAAATAACAAAAATATTGATTAGCTTCATATTTTGAAACTAATTACTGAGAGAAGATTAAACTAGTTAAAATCCTAGTTAAGAATAAGCTTTTTGAAAGCTATTGTTGGCTTCTGTTTGTGTCAAATTGTCTTCACTGAAATGAGGTAAAAAAAAATGGATTTTATCGATGGAAATTTACCTTCACCGAATTGCAAAAATTGATGAATATTGATGTTTAAGGATTTCCAGCAAACCCAGTTGTACACTAAACATACCTGTTCTATTAGCATTCTCATATAATAATAATCCTTGCATTTGATTTAGCGCCTTATCACATCACTGAGACGTCTCAAAGTGCTTCACAGAATATACCGTCAAATGTAGTGACTGTATATTTTGTGGGAGAAATATGTCGCAAGAGTATTTTGAAACAAAATGCTGAATATTGTTGAAAATGATCAGGCCTAGATAAGTAGAGAAATAAGTAGAGAATCTCAAACAAATAATTATTCATCCTTGCATTTGATATAGCACCTTATCAAGTGGCTGAAGCAAACATATCATAGGATCTTATTGTAAAGTGTAGTCACTGTACATGTGCAATTCACAAGCAAAAACCATGTTATGATCAACCACGATAATAAAACTTTATAAAACTATCAGTTATCAACATCGTCTAGTAACATTTTCAGAAACAAGTTATTTAAATTTTAAGTTCCCCGGGTAATAATCAGATCATAACGTGGTTTGCCTGATCTTAATCTAAGAGAATGTCATTTATCAACCCTGAGTAGCACAGTCTTAGTTGTGACTGGGGCAGAGACTATAGTGGAAGGGGTTCAAGATCTCAAAGAAAGTATTTAAAAATAAAAAATCTCAAATAAAGTACTGAATAATTTACAACATGATCATAAAATTATATGCAACATATTATCTGCTCCTTATCCAGGAAATAATGGGATGACATGTATCCTGTATGAGTTGGAAGGCAATAGAGGGGTAAGGGAGAGGGAATTAAGAGGGGTGGATCCTCACAAGGAGTATAAATACCAAAATGGACCAGACGGGCTGGTTTCTGTGCTTAGTGTTGTACGTAACTCTGTTGTAAAATATACCTCACTGTTTGCTACTTTTTTAAAAAAATTCAGTTACAGTTATCTATCATTTCCTTCAGAAAGTTCTTTGGGATGATGTGTGTTGGCTTACTGTTGTGATCAGAACTTAATTATTCTTTTGGAGAAGCAAGATAGAATAGAATTATTGTGTCCGATAAGTTAGTGTGCTTCTTTTGATTAGATGTGAATTACTATTGTGATTAGAAGTGAATTACTATGTTGGCTTGCTTATGGCAAACTGATTTGTACAAGTACGGCCTTGATTATAGAAGTTGCTTGATATTGATTAGATGAAGGCAGTATGGTTCTTAGCCACATCAAGATGACCTGCAGAAAATACTGTTTTAATATATTGAGCTGAGTTGCAGAACATCCACCCAAGTGTGCCAAGTGTTACAAGGAGGCTGTAAATCACTCGAGATAAAAATGTCAGTAAGCTGGGCCTTCAGGAGTTAAATTGGTTAAGAAAATGGAAGCGAACTTGTTATGATAACTATAGGTTGTTAATGTATGGTCCTGCATTATCTTAATCAGTCAGCCCACGGAGCCCAAGGTCAGCTCAGGTAAATAACTATCCTCTGAGTGAGGATGTGCACAGACCATCCTGAGTTGGTGAGAGAGTGGACACGTTTTTTTTCTTCTCTAAGAAGGTAATACTTCCACCTGAGGTTTTGTAACTCAAGCCACTTGTCTGTCCAAGGTTCCAGTAACACTGGAAGTAGAAAGAACAGACTCTGACAATACAAGAACACAACTGCGAGAGATTCAATACATGCTAATATTTGTGTTCCCAAGCAAGATAAGTTATTCTGCTGCCTATGAAGTTTGATATTATCATTACAGTGACATGCTGTATGTGAGCATAACACCATAATATTGGCTATCGTAACCACGTTTACTGAATCAATGCAAAATTGTCTTCTTGCCGTCGTGAGATGATCGATTAAGCATAAAATACAAATAATAATAATCCAAAACAGACAGTCAATTCACTTTACAGTTTATTCTGTGAAGTGCTTTGAGACGTCTAGAAGACGTGGAAAAGCGCTATATCAATGCAAGGATTATTAAATGGCTTTGGTTCCTCAGTTCTTGCATTCCAGACTTTATATCTGGCAAAAACAGAATAAGATGATCTTTTCTGATTGCACTTTTTGTCCCAGGCTGAATAGGTCGAGTTAGTTCTACTGCCGCCCGACTCCCAGGCTAAACAGGGTGTTTAAGTTCACGGTTGGCCGCACCTTTGAACCCAACTTTACTTTCTTCCAAAGTCTATCATTTTCACACGAGAGGCTTTTTACTTTATTTTTATTCTTGGTCAGTTCGCGCTTTGTGATCCCATAGTCTTGCCGAAGGGTTTCGAGCTGTTCGTGCAGGAGCTGTATCATGTGGCTCTTCTGTTTCAGCAATTTCAGCAGATCATCCTTAGAGTCAGGGGCAGAATAGTCGTGGTCATGCTGCACTGTATTACTCTGGATGTTACCGCGGTGTGAAACAAATGTGGAGATCCTTGTGAAACCTGTAACAAAGCCACATCATTATAGAGAATGTCCAATTTGCTGCTTGCTGTGCGCAAACTGGCCGCCACGTTTTGCCCACAAAATACAGTCAATCCACTTGACCGTAATATCCTGTGAAGCGCTTTGAGACTTCTCGACGACATGGTATGGCACTCTTATCAATTGCAAGGATTATTGTTGTTATAGAAAGAAATGTTGGCAACCAGGACATCTAGCTGTATTCACTGAATGTGCAATTCCATGAATGACCCCCTAAAATAAGCCTACATTTCAATTCATCCAAGCAAGGTGGGGTGATGCACAACAAACTATCATTGCATTCATCATAAAGAATAGCAGCAGCAATCAAAAGCACAATTGAGAACCATGACATGGGGGGCATTTGCAAATCGTTGTATCACATGCAACGATTATTGTTACTTTTTTTATCGACCGAGCCATCCGGAGAATGCACACTTATCTTCCTCTCCTTCCCCCACCACCACCCTTTGCTTTTTTTCCAGCAGAGGCGCTGCCTAATGGGTCAGTCAAACACCAACGAACAGGTTTTAAAAAAAAATGCTAAATGTTTACTTATAAGCAACATTGGTTCACCAACCAACATTTAGCTTATACCGATAATAATCCTTGCATATGATACAGTACTTTATCGCGTCTTCGAGACGCCTGAAAGGGCTTCACAGAACATACTGTAAAGCGAACTAACTGTATACTTAGCGGGCCGAACGCGACAGCCAATTGCGAGCGGCAGCGTCCCCTAAACCAACAGCGGTAGGTTGGAGTGACCGAATTATTTTACTTTTGTTTTTTGGGGGGGGGGGTTGCAACGATCAGCGCCTCGGTGGTGGGGGGGGGGGAAGCCATCCTCCCCCACGCGCGCACACGAAAAAAAATGCGCGATACAATGCAATTTGTTGTTGTTGTTGGTTGTTTGGGATAAAAGTTTAATCATTGTCACACTGGGACCTTCATATCGCTGACCACTATTTCCCACTTTGGACAGCAAGTCAACGTTTTTTTGGGGGGGTGTGGGGAGAGAGGTGGGGGGGGGTGGGGTGAAGGGGAGAAATGGGGGGGAATGGGGGTGGGGAGAGATGGGGGTGGGTGGGGGGGAGAAATGGGGGGGAATGGGGGTGGGGACAGATGGGGGGTGGGTGGGGGGGGAGAGGTGGGGGGGGAGAAATGGGGGGGAAGGGTGGGGGGGGAGGAGATGGGGGTGTGGGGGTGAAGGGTGGGTTAAGGTGAGCTGTAATGGCCTGAAATTGTTGCTGCCAACATTGAGATCAGAGGTCTCCCCTCCCAACCCGCCCCAGTTCTGACGAAGGGTCGCGGGCGGGACCCGAGCCGTGGGGTGGGGAGGGGGGGTGGAGGGGCTCACGTTCCCGGACGGTACCTGGACGGCCGCTCCCGGTCTGGCCGTGGCGGGGCTGTGGCTGCTGCCGCTCCCGCTCCCCCCCGCCCGGCCTCCTCCTGGCCGGGAAGACGGTGGGCACGTTGACCGCGTAGGTCTTCCTGCCGCCTCGGAAGTGGGCGTCGCAGACCCGGTGGTGGGCTCGGGGCGCCCACCTCGGGTGCTCGGCCCCGGCGGACCGGGCGATGTTGCTGACCCAGAGCTGCCTGAGGGCCGGGGCTTTGGGGAAGTTGTGGAAGGACAGGGCCCTGTGCTTGAGGGTGTTGTGGTAGCAGCCGGGGACGCAGCAGTAAGTCCCCACCATGATGTCTCCCCCTCTCCCCCTCCCGCTCCCCACCGGGAGGTCAGGGGTCACCTCCTCCTCCTCCCCCAGCATGCACTGCGCTGGCCATCCTGCGCAGGCGCCCTGCGGCTCAGGGCGAGTCAACCGCCTCCCACGTTTCTCATCAGCAGATTCGCACCTCCTTCCATATCTCTTTCTGCCCTCACCCCCCCCCCTCCCACAGGACTAAAGCAACCCTCACCTCACCCCCACCCCACCCTCTCTCTCTCTCATTGGGGTTATCAGTGCAGTGGGGAGATAGAATGGTTTGGCAGATATTTACTTCCAAAAGATTTTTTTTTAAAAAATAATAATAATAATAAATGATGATGATGCTGTTGAGATACTATTTCAGGAGGAGGAGGAGGAGGAGGGTGGTCTGCAGTGGTCAGTGTGCTGGGGAGGGGTGGGGAGGAGGGGGGGGGCAATGATTGGTCCTCATTTACATGAGGGGGCAATGGGTAGGTCGGGATACACGTGCATCACTTGTCAAGGGTGAGTAGTTGCAGTGTGTCCTGTGCTGGAGAGGGGTGGTATGGGGGGGAGGGAGGGAGTGGTGCAGATTATTTTCCTTTATTTGAATGAGGGGCTGATTTTGGAGTAATTAAATAATATGCCTTACTTTTAAAGGGCGAGTGGTTTTGTTTTGCAGCATATCTTGTGCTGTGTGTGGGTGTGAGAAAGAGGTGGTGATGGGGGGGGGGAAGGGGGCAGTTATTTGCATTACTTGATGTACTGGGGCAGGGAGGGAGGGAGGGGGGGGCAAAAGGGGGGGAGGAGAAAGTGGAGGAGAAAGATGGGGGAGAGAAAGTGGAGAGGGGGACAGAGAGAGAGGGGAGAAAGTGGTGGAGGAGGGGGGGAAGAGAGAGAAGGGGGGAGAGAAGGGGGGGGAGAAAGAGGAGGAGGAGGGGTGGGGGCAGAGAGAGAGAGAAGGGGGGAAGAAAGAGGAGGAGGAGTGGGGGCAGAGAGAGAGAGAAGGGGGGAAGAAAGAGGAGGAGGAGGGGTGGGGGCAGAGAGAGAGAGAGAGGAGGGGGGGAGTCAGTCAGATATGATGGTCTGGGCTGAGTGTCGAAAGTGCGCGCTGTGTGCGAGGCGGAGCGCGAGGCCGTGCGGACCGGGCGGGCGATGGCGGAAGATGGGCGCCGCCTCCAGTGAGCAGTGCATCTATGACAGACTGGCCGACAGTGTGGAGGTGCTCCGCCGGTCCGGGGAGAGGTATGGCATGTCCCAGGGCGACATCGAGAACTTCATCGTCCACATCCTGGAGACCAACGAGCCGCAGCGGGAGGCGCCGCGGCACCCCAGGCTCCTGACGGCGGCCAAGGTAGCCGGACACTGAGAGAGAGGGGGAGGGGGGGCTCAGAGGGGGAGTCTCAGAGTGGGGGGGGGCTCAGAGAGTGGGGGGGGGGGCTCAGAGAGAGTGGGGGGGGCTCAGAGAGCGGGGGGGGGCTCAGAGAGAGTGGGGGGAGTCTCAGAGAGTGGGGGGGCTCAGAGAGAGGGGGGGGGCTCAGAGAGTGGGGGGGGGCTCAGAGAGAGTGGGGGGGCTCAGAGAGTGGGGGGGGCTCAGAGAGTGGGGGGCTCAGAGAGTGGGGGGGGCTCAGAGAGTGGGGGGGGCTCAGAGGGGGAGGCTCAGAGAGTGGGGGGGGGCTCAGAGAGTGGGGGGGGGCTCAGAGAGAGTGGGGGGCTCAGAGAGTGGGGGGGGGAGTCTCAGAGTGGGGGGGGCTCAGAGAGAGAGGGGGGGGCTCAGAGAGAGGGGGGGGCTCAGAGAGAGGGGGGGGCTCAGAGAGTGGGGGGGCTCAGAGGGGGAGTCTCAGAGAGGGGGGGGCTCAGAGAGTGGGGGGGGGCTCAGAGGGGGAGTCTCAGAGAGTGGGGGGGGGCTCAGAGAGTGGGGGGGGGGGCTCAGAGAGTGGGGGGGCTCAGAGGGGGAGTCTCAGAGAGTGGGGGGGGGCTCAGAGAGTGGGGGGGGCTCAGAGGGGGAGTCTCAGAGAGGGGGGGGCTCAGAGAGGGGGGAGTCTCAGAGGGTGGGGGGGCTCAGAGAGTGGGGGGGCTCAGAGAGTGGGGGGGGCTCAGAGAGTGTGGGGGGGGGCTCAGAGAGTGGGGGGGGCGGCTCAGAGAGTGGGGGGCGGCTCAGAGAGTGGGGGGGGCGGCTCAGAGAGTGGGGGGGCGGCTCAGAGAGTGGGGGGGCGGCTCAGAGAGTGGGGGGGGGTCTCAGAGAGTGGGGGGGGTCTCAGAGAGTGGGGGGGGTCTCAGAGAGTGGGGGGGTCTCAGAGAGTGGGGGGGGGGGCTCAGAGAGAGGGGGGGAGTCTCAGAGAGTGGGGGGGGGCTCAGAGGGTGGGGGGGGCTCAGAGGGGGAGTCTCAGAGAGTGGGGGGAGTCTCAGAGAGTGGGGGGGGCTCAGAGAGTGGGGGGGGCTCAGAGAGTAGGGGGGCTCAGAGAGTAAGGGGGGGCTCAGAGAGTGGGGGGGGGGGCTCAGAGAGTGGGGGGGGGGGCTCAGAGAGTGGGGGGGGCTCAGAGAGTGGGGGAGGGGCTCAGAGAGTGGGGGAGGGGGCTCAGAGAGTGGGGGGAGGGGGCTCAGAGAGTGGGGGAGGGGGCTCAGAGAGTGGGGGGAGGGGGCTCAGAGAGTGGGGGGAGGGGCTCAGAGAGTGGGGGAGGGGGCTCAGAGAGTGGGGGAGGGGCTCAGAGAGTGGGGGGAGGGGGCTCAGAGAGTGGGGGAGGGGCTCAGAGAGTGGGGGGAGGGGGCTCAGAGAGTGGGGGAGGGGCTCAGAGAGTGGGGGCTGCTCAGAGGGGGGGGGGAGGGTTCAGAGGAAGGAGGGGAGGGGGGGTTCCGCCGCTCAGAGAGGGGGAGGGGCCGCTCAGAGAGGGGGAGGGGCCGCTCAGAGAGGGGGAGGGGCCGCTCAGAGTGGGGGTCTGAACCTGGTTATTCATTTTTCAATAGGAATTATAATCAATAATAATCCTTGCGTTTGCTCGAGTGCCTTATAATGCCATCAAGATGTCTCGTAGGGCTTCACGGGATACGACTGTGTAAGTGAAGTGAATCGACTGTATATATTTTTTGCCCACAAAATAAACAGTCAATTCACTTTACACTATATCCTGTGAAGCCCATTGAGGTGTCTCAACGGTATGATAAGGCGCTATATCAAATGCAAGGCTTATTATTATTATTTTGTGGACGAAACGCGGCAGCCAATTGCGCACAGCAGTGACCGACAAACAGTCATGGACTTCTTTTTTTGGTAGGGGAAGGGATTATTTACTCCTGAAAAGTGAACCGCCAATAGACTTAATAACCGGGTTTCCGACTTACTGCTGGGTAAAGCAGAAGCGTGTGTGTGTGTGTGTGGATCCCAGGATATTAGTTCCTAAACGAAACCTAATTTGCTTTTGAAAGAATAGAATTTTTCTGCTTCCACCAGCTGTTAGGAAATAAAATCTGTAAGGAAATAACGCTACTTCCTCTAACCAGATTTCAGACTGTTTTATTATTATTCGTTCGTTATTCCCCAATATCCCGATGGGTCAGACCAAAGGCCGGTACAATCAACAGATCTTATAACAGAATAACACCACTATAGATATCTCGAGTTCAAGAGTTCAACACTGTGTCTTTCCAGCACACAAGTTTGATTCTTCATGCTTTCAGTCTTCTTGCTTACAGCTTTCAATCTTCCATCTGATATCCTCAGTCTTAGTGTTTCCAGCTCTCAGTCTTCCATCTCCCGTACCCTTGTCTCCGCAGCCCGGGGTGGCTCCATCTCCTGTATCCTTGTCTCCACGACCCGAGACGGCTCCATCTCCTGTATCCTTGTCTCCACGACCCGGGACGGCTCCATCTCCCGTATCCTTGTCTCCACGACCCGAGACGGCTCCATCGCTTGTCCTTGTCTCCACGACCCGGGACGGCTCCATCTCCCGTATCCTTGTCTCCACGACCCGGGACGGCTCCATCTCCTGTATCCTTGTCTCCACGACCCGAGACGGCACCGTACACAAAGTTAACGGAACTCTTATACCAATGTTCATCCAATCATGGTGCGGACATGAGATCACTTGGTCGAAATCATGCTGGGTGTACGTGAGCACCTCATGGGGTATACGTGCCTCAGCCCACATACACATTGACCTTAAGACCTCTGTTATCTGATCTAATTGTCTAAGATAGAAGATTGATCAGTTTAGGACTGTATCTGGTGCTCATTATTTTGTGGTGTGGGATCATTAGTACATTCCTTTTAAGTGACTGATTATTTCTTATCAGTATCCCGGGATGGTACCGAGGCCCTCTAGTTTAAGCAACTTGTTCATTAATTGCTATTCTTGAGGGTTGCCCTCTGTCGGTTGGCCCTGTCAGAATCTAGCGACCTATTGCTCAGTCGAGATCCTGTGTCGACTGGTACCTTGGACCGTTATCTCTGTGGGCTTGTTGTCATTTACTGATAAGAGGTGACCCCCTGCCCCTGTCTGTTATTCTTTCAAAAACAGAGAAAACCAGATGAGTCCTATCCCATGACTGTCAGTCCAGTTGTCCCTCACACTTAACTTAAAAGTTAACCCATTCACAACATCTATTATGATTCTAGCAGTATACAAAAAGTGTATATTCTAACACAGCCACATTGTCAAGACACAGGGTTTACTAAGGAGTGGACTGGATTGTGTAACATAACATGTAGGAGCAGGAGTAGGCCATTCGGCCCTTCGAGCCTCTGCCCCGCCGTTCAATCATGGCTGATCTTCTAATTAACTCCAGCTAATAACCTGACCCTGCCTTATCCCCATATCCCTTTTGCAATAAGAAATCTATTTATCTCAGTCTTGAATATGTTCAAGGACTGAGCGTCAACAGCCCTTTGGGGTAGTGAGTTCCATACATTCACCACCCTTTGAGTGAAGAAGTTCTTCCTCAACTCAGTGCGAGTGGCCTCTGATTTTAAGGTTGTGACCCCTGGTTTTAGTTTCTCCAACCAGGGGAAACAATCTCCTACTATCTACTCTATCATGCCCTTTGATGATCTTATAGGTTTCTATAAGATCCCCTCTTATTCTTCTATATTCTAGAGAATATAGGCCCAAATTGGTCAGCCTATCCTCGTAACTCATCCCCTTCATCCTTGGTACTAACCCAGTAAACCTACGCTGCACCCCCTCCAAGGCAAGTACATCCTTCCTTAAATAAGGAGACCAAAACTGCCACAGTATTCCAGGTGTGGTCTCACCAGGGTCCTATACAGTTGCAGCAAGACTTCCCTACTCTTATACTCTAATCCTTTCATAATGAATAGTGTATTTATAGGCCATTGATCCCCTTCCCCCCACCCCCAAAATAACACTAGCCTTCAAGTGAATGAACCAATTTTTATTTGGCTGGGACGCCGAGAGAATGGAATCTGTAATGTCTGCCCGGACAGGTAGATGGAACCTCAGTTTAATGTGTCATCCAAAGGATGGGGCATCCGACAATGTGGCCCTCCCCTCCCCACTCAGCAATGCAGCATTGCACAAGAGTGTCGGCCTAGATTACAAACCCCCGAAGTAGGGTTTGAACTCACAGACTAATTCTGACACCTACAACTTCCTGACCCCAACATATTAACAGTGACTACAACAACAACAAAATTACATTTGTATAGCGCCTTTCACATTGGGAGGACGTCCCGAGGACTCTTATTAATAATGGCACATCGGCTAACAATGATTCTCCAAAGAAGTGAGCAAGATCTCCTTAGAGATGAGCTGGTTTAAATGTGATGTGTTTGGCAACAGAATGTTTGAAGCGCACCAGTCCAGAGCACTGTCAATGACAAACCAGCCAACCTGGCTCATTGGCTGGATTTTGAGGTGGCAGATTCAGTCATGGAAAGAAGTGCAGGAATTCTTTACAATTAACGCCATAAGCCAAAGCCTTAGTGGTCCTGGCTGTCCTGTCGGTTCTCTTGCTACATTTCGCCCACAAAATACGCAGTCAATTCACTTTACAGTATGTTCTGTGAAGTGCTTTGAGACGTCTCGAGGATGTAATAAGGTGTTATATCAAATACAAGGATTATTATTAATACTAGTTAGAGCGTATGATCTTGTCCACAACAATAGTTGGATTTATAGCTTAGCACTCTTCACACGGGGTAGCGTCTCTGAGCACTACTAGTACTGCAAGTAATATTGGGGGTACTCCCCAATATATTGGAGGCTGCCATGTTTGACTATAAAATATACAATCTGATCCACTTTACCAAAAATATACTTTACAGTAAATCCATTGAAGTGCTTTGAAACATCCTCCAGATGTAACAGGTGCTATATCAAATGCAACAATCTATTTATACATGTAGTTGATATTTAATTAAATGCAAAATAAGCACGATTGTGGATTGCTCCTTCTGTGCTTTGGTAATACTGTACAATGAAAGAGGAACAAAATTCTGTTTTGTAGGAGACTGAAAGCGGAACAAAGCAGCACATAATACAAAACTGCCCCTGCGTGAGGGGCATTGTACAAATGGTTGTTGCTTCTATTATACCATAGCATTATTCATTATTAATTAATTATTAATAAAGCATTATTATACTATATTAATTTATTTTAAAAAAGCATAACATGGCACAGCACTCATTGGGGTTCACTATTTTATCAAAGCACTGTCCTGTAGTAATGAGGCATGAAGCGCCATATTCTACTGCATATTGTACTGCAGCTTATAGTGAAGAGTAAAAGACTATTTTGGAGTATATTATTATCCCGAAGCATGTGTTGCAATAGAATGGGATGCAAGGCTGTGAGAGACGCAAAGCACGACACTAAATTGTAGAGGCAAGCTAAAGCCACTGGAGGGCAGACAATGCTAAGAAATTGGAGTTCAGCTGAACTTTTGCTGTATATTGTAGGAATTATATCATAATCACACTAGTAATAGTAACCACCTTTTTAGTAAGCCAGCAACAGGACGACAATGGACTTTCTGAAACTGTGCTCCGAGGAGTAATTACAGAGAATCTCTAGCACCAAAATAATCGTAAAAGGAAATAATGCACCTGTTGCCTTATAAACAGCCATGGAGTGAATGATCGATTGTTATTTGGGGATTGTAGCTGGAACAGTGGGAGAAATTCCCTTCTCTTTTCAAATACTGTCACCTGAACAGACACGGACAAGACCTCAGTTCTGACTCCTGATAATGCGGTGCTCATCATGCTCTGGGCGCTGTCAACCTAGACTGTATGAGTTCATAGGGCTTGGAATCACAGCCTTCTGACTCGGAGGAGATAGTGCTACTAACTGAGCCTGGTTGATACCTGTCTGGCTTTGTAAAATACTACCTACTGTACCTTCACTCTTCTTTCTAGCATCATTTACTGTATATGGCTATGATGATTATCAATTTGGATGGATGTATAATTAGCATTTGCCTCTTCTATATCACTTTCTTTGAATATTCCTGTTACTGTGGCTCTTCACAGGTCCAACGCGCAAAACGCATTAGTATCCAGTAAAGCTATCCCCTTCCTTCAGTTTGTTCCAATGCTACACTTTAGCTTGCTCTTGAGGATACAAAGGTACATCCTGTTTTTAACCTGCTTAATTTACAGTAATTTCACTTCCTCCTGTGTCCTTGATAGAGACAGGCAGTTTGCCACATAGAGAATTCAGGAGATGTTTGCCGTTCTGCCAAAGTTATCACCACTATTTATAAGTTTAAAATACATTTTTCTTTTTGATGATTCAAAAACCTGGGTGATGATGATAATAATAATCCTTGCATTTGATATAGCACCTTATCACGTCGTTGAAATGTCTCAAAGCACTTCACAGGATACATTGTAAAGCGGAGTGACTATATTTGGTGGGCGAAAACCCAGCAGCCAGTTGCGCACAGCAATGTCCCACAAACATCCATGGAGTGAGTAACCAATTTTATTTAGGGGATTTATTGGCCAGGACACCTGAAGAGAGAAACCTTCTCTTTTCAAATAGTGCCATTGGATCTTTAACGTCCACCTGAACAGGCAAATAGCAAACTTCTGAACATGGTGAACTCAGGTACTATAATGATGAGATAGTGAATACATAAAAAGTATTGAGTATATTTTTCCCTCCCTCCCAGAATGTCAGCTTGAACCTGATCTGGTCTGAAACATGCCAAGACCCATCACCATGCTTACGAGTATCCAAGCCAAACTGAGAACTTAATGCATCCCACCTACACACGGAAATTCCAGAGATAGATGTTTTTATATATGCCATACTCATTATACTATAATGTTCTGTTCTTTTCTTCTGATAGATTGTGGTTGCACTGGGGCTTCTCCTGTTGACTGCCTACTCCTTCATCAGCCCATACGGTAGATCGCATTACCAGCACGCGGTAGCAGAAACCCAAAACTGGCGATGTCCAATCATTGGCCATATCCGTCTCTTTTGCCTCCCAATTGCCAAAAAGTACAATCTAGAAGGTAAGATGGCCTTTGAAAACTTACAGGTTCCTGAGTTGAAAATCACAAAGGACTTGATGAATATCGGGAGGTCGTAAGCAAGTGTTTGTATTGAAACTTTTCAGATTTGGGGATTTTCTCTGCACAAGGTGGGAAGTGTATTTTGATCATGTCTAAATTTGCGAAGCGGAGATGTGTTGAACTAGAGATTTTAAGATGTCCATTTCTAAGAGTTAGTCATTTAGAACCCTCATTCTAATCTTGGAAAAATTAGCCAAATGTTAAAGGAGGCTGAAACTCAAGCAGGTGGCAGTATGAGACAAGTGTTGAAATGTTATTGTTATTGTAATAATAATATGAATAATAATAATTATCATAACCTTGCAAGCAAGAGACCTGGGTTTGATTCCCCGTCAGGGTGAAACATTGGGCAAGTTTCCTTACTCCACGCGCCTCTGATCATCTAGCAGTAAGTAGGAACCCAGTTGTTAATCGATTGGCAGATCGCTTTTCTGGGAGTAATAAATCCTTCAAAAAAAATAATAATTTGGTCACTCTTGCCACGACTGTTTGTGGGACACTTCTGTACGTAATTGGCTGCCGCGTTTGGCCCACAAAATATACAGTCAATACACTTTGCCATATATTCTGCGAAGCGCTTTGAGAAGTCTCGAAGACGTGATAAGGCGCTATATCAATGCAAGATTTTTAGTACTTAATACAAGTATCACATGTTTCGAAGCACATCACAAAGGTTTCTGCAAAATATAGTTAATGTGTATGTAGAAGAATGCATATTTGCTGCAGTTGGAGTAATGGATTTCCTTGACTTTTCTTAACTGTAAAATCAAATACCAGTTTTAGAATTGTACATTAAACAACATTGTTCCATTCAGATTTAATATATTTTTATTATAGTAAAATAAAAACAGAATGGAACAATGTAGTACAAGGCACTGTCTGTCCAGATATAATTATTATTATTCCAGGAATAATTGTTATTATTCCTTCAAAATAATAATAATAAATTGGTCAGACGGAACCTGATGAGAGCAGGCAGAAGACTTGAGGTTGGGCTTGTAAGTTCCTCTAAAGATTGGGTTTGTAAGTTCCTCTAAGGTTTGAGGTTGGCTTTGGAGTTGGAAGTTCCTTTGAAGTCTTGAGTAATGAAATGGGGGAGTGGGGGATGGCTTAAAAATAAGCAGGAATTAAAAGCCAAAGTTACATTTGATTTTGGAAGTGAACTTTAGTGCTGTAAACTTCTTTTTAAACGTGTTTTGCTTGGATTCCACCATCTTCTCAGGGCCACTGAGCAATCTTTTCCACCTTTTTAATGAAGCAACCCTCCTGAAAGGTCTTGGGTTCAACTGTAAAACATCTGTTGTTTTTGAGACATTTAATGTATTCCAGTTGAAGATTTAGTTCTTCAACGAGTCACACAAGGTACCGAAGGATACTTTTCACCTTTTTTCCTCTGTTATGGAGCTGCAGCTGTCTTCTGTCCATGAAGCTTCAAGCTGTTGATGGTACGATTAGTAGAACATATCCTTACAGCGCTAGATTGTAAACCATTAACCAATAATACTTGTTGCTGTGGTTCTTGAAACACAAGGAATGCCAGAAGTCGAGTTGGAACCCAAGCAGCCAATTACATTCACAATTTTTACTTCCGTATCTCCGTGTGTATAGACAACTTATGGCTGAGAGAGCATTGTACAATCTGTAACCCGATTAATCAAACGCATTAATACTTGATGTTGTGAGCCCATTACTCCCATCATCGCTTCGCTCCACTGGCTCTCTTATCTCCCAGTGGATCAATTCCAAAATCTGTGTACTCGCCTTCAAATTCCTCCACCGCCTCGCCCCATGCTACCTCAGTGACCTCCTGCAACCCAACATGTTCCCTGGATTCCCCCGTCCCCTCCTCAAACGTCATTGCTTTAAGATGTTCTCCTGTTGTCAAGGGTGCTATTTAAATGTTAATTTAAGCAGAAAATGTCATTTGTTTCAAGAACAAATTAGATAGATTTCTGCTAGAAAATAATATCTTGGGATACAGTGTATAGTTCGGGACATGACATGTCAAGTGACTGCCAGAATGGTGGGAGCCAAACTAGATGGACCTCGGTCTTCTTTCGCCTAGCCAATTCTTACGTTCTTAATTGTTGTCATTGATGTGTTTTTTTAAATAGCTTTAAATAACCACGGCAACAGCTATTCTTTGTTTGCAGTTTCATCATAGTTTATGTTGTCCTGTGTGGTCTGTTTTTTACTTTAAAAGAGCCTATTTTCATTTGAGTTGAACTAACACTGCATAGGTTGAAGCAACTGTTGATTTTTTGCTAAGTAGTTATATTCTATAGAGAGAGATGATGTTATTTAACTCAGAACGAACAGATGGACAAGAGTACGCACAGGAGACTGGACTACGAATGTAATTCATTTGTCGCAGTCTGAACTCTCTGCAGCTGATGGATACACAGAAAGAATACACATAACCACAGCCAAGTATGTGCTCACAATAAGAAATTGCTTTGAGAATCGCAGTGTACTCTGGTACATGTTTATTCAAAATCTTCTTTGGCCATGTACAATAAAGAAGTTCAAGGTTTAAGCCAAAAGTTTTTAATATTGAGACATTATGCTGAAGCTAGCTGCAATGCAACGAGTCACGCAACAAACCGAACTGCAGAAGTTCTTTAAACCTTTAGAACTACTTCATAACCACAGAAAACTTTTTTTTAAACTTTACACAATAGCAGCAAAAAAACACATGTATCATCAACTAAAAAATATCAAATCAGAATGGAACAATGTAGTTTTTGTCCATCTGTGACCAGGCCTCCCTCTGCTTCCTCGTCCTGCTCAATCTCTCTATTGCCTTCGATACCGTGGGCCACTCCATCCTCCTTCACCTCCTCTCCTCTCAACCATCAAGGTTCTGTCCTTGAATGGTTCTGGTCTTATCTCTCACACCGTCTCCGCCAACAATTTCTCTTCCAGGTCTCGTACAGTCTCGTGTTCCTCAGGGTTCTGTCCTTGATCCCCTCCTTTTCAAGCTCTGTATGCTCCCCCTTGGTGACATCATCCGAAGACATGGGGTCAACTTCCACATGTGCACGGATGACACCCAACTCTATCTCTCTGCCTCCATTCTCGATTCCAAGATGTCCTAACAGTCTGTCTGTCTGTCTGGCATCAAGTCCTGGATGAGAGCCAACTTTCTACAGCTGAATGTCAGCAAGACTGAGGCCCTCTTGATCGGCTCGCACCAGCACCTCAGGCACTGGCAGCTTCAGCATCCACGGATGCACACTCCACCTCACCAAGACAGTTAGGAACCTGGGCGCCTTGTTCGACACTCAACTGAACTTTCTTCCCCTTATCTGTGTCATGAGCCGCTCTGCCTTCCCCCACCTCCCACTACTGCCTCATCCGTCAGTCCACCAAAACCCTCATGCACGCATTTGTCACTTCAAGACTTGCTCCCTCCTTGTTGGCCTCCCCAGTTCTTCCCTCCACAGCTGCAAATCATCCAGAACCCTGCAGCTTGTGTCCTCTCCCACTCCAGTCTCTATGACCCCATCACCCTCGCCCGGCTCCACTGGCTCCCCATCTCTCAGAGGATAGAATTCAAAATCCTCGTCCTCACTTTCAAGGCCCTCCTACATCTCTGACCTGTTGATCCCCTATCAACCCGTCCACTCCCTCCGCTCAGCAGGCTCTGGCCTGCTCCAGGTCTCCCAACCTACCGTCTGTGGCCGGGCGTTCAGCCTCTCTGCCCCCACCCTTTGGAACTCCATCCCACAGTCCATTTGCCTTGCTCCCTCCCTTGCCTCCTTCAAGGCAAAACTCAAGACCCTCCTTTTTGACAGTGCCTTCAGCCGCCCTCCTACCCCTTCTGCCCTCCCTTATCCCAACCCTGCCCCCTCATGCTCAGGTCCTGATGCCTTGGGACATCCTCCTACTGTGAAAAGCGCTTTACAAATGTAAATTTGCTGTTGTAGAACAACATAGTTGTAAAGTCTGTGACATGTCTGGTTTTGTTTCTTGTCTGGTATAAATGATGCATACAGTAAATACTAATTGTTTAATTATTTGTTTAGCAAATGTGTGTGTTTTAAAATGCTTTTGTCCAACTGAAAAAAAATCTTGCAAATGTGCAACAACAATGTTGTGGGAGATAGATATGAATGGAGGGCGTATTTTACGCTGATGGCTAAAAATAGCTATCGCTAAAAATCTTTTCATCTTTATACAATAAGAAATTCCATTATAATGTAATGGTGAACAAGTTTTAAACAGATAAGCCCAATAAACCATTTTGCCCACAACATATACAGTCAATTCACTTTGCAGTATATTTTGTGAAGCGCTTTGAGACGTCTCAAAGACGTGATAAGGCGCCGTATCAAATGCAAGTTATTATTATCATAAACCTGACTTTCTAGCTTTGTAGCATTCCAAATAGTCAATATGTAAATACATACACGCGATGCACTGTAATCTGTTGCTGCCACACAATAACATTTTGTTGTGACACTACTGAAGCATTTGAGTGAAGGGAATTTCCATTTCATAATCTTTAGACAATATTGGCAGGCAGCATCTCGTTTGACCTGTACAAAGTATAAAGAGGAGCGTGGTTCAGGGTCGAGTGACCATTAGAGTATGGTGAGCATTGAATAGTAATAATCTTTGCATTTGATATAGCGCATTATCACGTCTTCGAGATGTCTCAAAGCGCTTCACGGAATATACTGTCAAGTGAATTCGCTGTGTATTTTGTGGGAGAAAATATGGCTTCTCACTCACATACTGTCACGTGTGGCATTCCTCAGAGCTCTATCTTTGGTCCTCTCAATTTTAATCCCTCCATGGTCTTGTATTCATCTTGCCTCCAAGACTGCTCATTCCTCTCAGCAGGCTCTGGCCTGTTCCATGTCCCCCACTGTCCCGCTCCACCATTGGCGGCTGGGCCTTCAACCTTTCTGCCCCCATCCCAAATTCCCTTCGCCTCGCTCCCTCCCTTGCCTCCTTCAAGGCATGTCTCAAAACCCTCCTCTACAACCGAGCCTTTGGCCACCCTCCTACTCTCCCTGCACTCCTCCACCTTCCCTGATCCCGACCCCCAGCTCGGGTCCAAATCCCTGGCTGGCCAAAGCCCTGGGATATCATCCTGACGTGACAGGCGCTATACAAATGTATATTGTGTTGTAAGACCGCCTCAAACCCTGCCAACGCGGCGCTCTCTGTGCTCAGCGGGTTCCGACCCGTTTCAAGGTCCCTGTCCCGTCATCAGTGGTCGAGCTCCCAACACATCTTCCCACAACAAACTCCTGGATTTTCATCCTAGATTTCCTTTGACTCGCCACCTTCAGGATCTGCCTCAAGATCTTCCTCTTTGACTACGTTTTCGGCCATCTTTCCCCAACCCCCCTCCCCCCAACTTGGTTGCAAACTGTCCAACACCATGGGATGTCCTCCTGCGATGAAACGTGCTGTATGAATGAAAATTGTATTGTAATTTGTATTAGATTTCATTTGTGCAACATAATACTAGATATGATTATCAGTGTAGCAAACGATGGGTCTTGAATTATCTCTGTAGTCGGAATAATCCAAAGCCACATTGAATTATAGAGTTAAACATCTTCACTACTCAAATATGAGTATAAAGTTCAGATTTTCAGAAGATAGTGGTTTGCCACTGCATTTGTAGTACATGTCAGGATTTACTAAGTGACACATAAGACTTTTTGTTATCGCTTGCGTGATTATTTTTACCAAATATTTTCCTACACCCAACCCCACCCACGGCTCTTTTGAATTCAATGTGCAGTCACATTCCCTATTCTTCTCTTTGTGGAAATGACTATTTTTTGCTGTGACTTCAGTTCAATTTTTTATTTAAAAAGCTGAACAATGGAACTAACAGCATGATTGTAAATAGCCACCGCTTCATGTGGATGACTGATGCAGCTCAGTTAGGGCTTGGGTACATATTAGTCATTTTGTCCTTGCTGTAAGATGTTAAGAAGTATCAAAAGCTTCTATTCTTGGAAAAGACAAACAAAAGAAATGAATGAACAGAAGGCATGAGAGAGATTAATCAACCAAGCTTAAAAGTCTTTTGATAAAGAAAGTGGGGCAGAATAGATTGTTTTATTTTGTTCCATATATTGATACACAAGTAAAATACAAAGTTCATTCTGATTTCTGAAGCAAACTATTTTTTATGATAAATGTTTTAACTTCCGTGAGAGCAAAATATTAAACCTGATGCTTGTGAATGGAGAGAAACTGTTTGCCAGCACTGTATCAGCAAGGAACAATTTTGAAATATTGTAAGCCTCTGAATTTGACACTGATGTTCCATTGGAAGGATTAAGACATTACATTCCAACATACCACCAAGTGAAAGGGTGTTCACTGTATTTGTTGCCAAAACTTGCATTAAAAAATCTGTACGAGTCCCTCTTTAAACAAGTTTGTAACATTTCATGTTTCTTCCTGTGTAACGTTTCCTATCACATTTTTAAAAAATCTCTCTGCTCTAATTGAATCCAGAAAAGATTGCATCACCTGCAGATAGATTTAATTTGGTGCTATAATCGTGTGACGTTCGAATGGGTTTCAAAAATGTTTAAAGACATTTTGACTGGATAAGCTCACTTCCCTTTTTGAACCTCACTATTGGATTGTTAACATAAACAATTGTGGCTGTCCTTCAAGCATCAGTCGAGGTTATGAGCTCATGTGCCATCGTTGATCTTGAACTCACAGCCTCTGACCCAGAGGCAAGAGTGACACCAACTGAACTAAACTGATGTTTCAAATAAACATAATCTGTGCATTTGATATGGCACCTTATCACACCTTCTAGACGTCTCAAAGCGCTTCACATAATATACTATAAAGTAAATTGACTGTAGATTTTGTGAGCAAAACTCGGCAGCCAATTGTGGACAGCAGTGTCCTGCACGCAGCCATGGATTGAGTGACCAAATTATTTATTAATTAATTTACTTTTGAAGGAATTGTTATCCCTGGAAAAGTGATCCGCCAATCGACTAACAACCAGTTTCCTACTTACTGCTAGGTAAACAGAGGTGTGTGGAGTAAGGAAACTTGCCCAATGTTTCACCCTGCCCGGGAATCGAACCCAGGTCTTCTCGCTTGTGAGGCGAGCGTTCTAACCACTGAGCTACAGGACTCCACAATGGTGACCTCAGCGGAGGTGCATGTTTAGGCAGAAATACTGAGCAGTTGTTTCATCTATCTCACAACTTTGACTGGGATTATCTTTCTGATTCATTAGGGTAGTGCTGGGTATTGTGTAGCACAATGATGACCTTATATCTTACTTTTAGTCATACTTAGTTACTTTTGAATAGGACTCATTGTTCCGTTAACTTTCTCTGCTCTTAATCTAAGTTTGCTATGAATAGTCAATATTTTAACACCGTGAAGGAAATCTGTTGTACAACCCATCCACCCTTTCTATGATTATGAAGTGACATTTCCTTCCGCTACGAATTCTCTGAGCGGTAGATATTCTGCATTATCTGTATTGTTCCATGCCTCAGATATTATTATGAGTTTTATTCTTATAAAATTGATAGCTTCCTGTTCTGGTTACAGAAAGTCTTTAGAAAATGTACGTAAAGCAAAATAATCTCAGTATTGTTTAGTTATATATAATTAACCTTGTATTTGAGGTAACGCCTCATCATGTGGAAATATCTCAAAGCACTTCACAGAGTTTCACGGAGATGCCAATTTGTACACAGCAATGACACTCAAAACAGCCATGAAATAAATAACCAATTTTTAATCTGGAGGATTGTTGGGTGGAAGTTACTGGGAGAATGTCCCTTGTGATCTTTTACGTCCACCTGAAATCTCAGCCAAAGGTCAGTACCTCCAACAATGCAACATTCCCCCTGCACTATATTGGAGTGTTAGCAAAGTGCTGACGTGTCATGCAAGTAATCCAAACAAGGGTCTTTTTAGAAAATAATCCCTAAAAGAAATTCTAAGATTCAATTATCTTATTAACAAGAATAATCCTTGCATTTAATATAGTGCCTTATTACATCATTGAGGTGTCTCAAAGCTCTTCACATAATTATGTATTGTAAAATGGATAAACTTTGTATTTTGTGGGCGAAACGTGCCAGCCAATTTGCACACAGCAGTGTCCCACAAACAGTCATGGATGAGGTAACCAAATTGGAGGATCGGGCAATTATGCACCACAGCAAACAGTCCTTGGTTTGAAAATGACTGGTGCTTCATAGGGATAAGAAGTGCAGATGATATTGAGCAAAGATATATCAACTCTTATAATTGTAGTGAATCTGCTGCCAGACTGGTTTGTTAATTTTCAACACCACTTACNTTTTTCCTGCGATGTTATGAGCTTTTTGAAACTGAAATGTAATTTAAAAACACTCAACAATATGACTCAAGACATGGGTGTGCCCATCCTATTTTTCTTCCTGAACTGCATTCAAAAGTCAGACACCAGACAATTCTGCGGACAGACCAAAGCTGATAATATGTACAGTTAATTACAGAGGGAGGCAATGTCATCATAACTAATTATTAATTTAGGAAAGAGACCAATAATTTCAGTGTATTATTCAGTAGTGTTTATTTCTAATTGTACCTGATCCTAAAAATGATTAATTACCACACCCTGCAGCCTTTCCATCTCTGCCCTCACAAGCTTCATGTCATCCAGAATTCCCATCACCCCTCTCCTTACCAGACTTTACTGGCTTCCTATTCTCCTTTGAGTCAAGTTGTATGGATCTTCATGAGTCAATGCCTCCATGGTCCTGCTTATATATCTGTCCCTCTCTGCCTCATGTCCAGTGGCAAACTTTCAATCATTTTGCCCCTGCTCTCCAGAAAATGCACCCTAAATCCCTCCTCCTCGCTCTCCTCTGCTTTCTGCTTCCATCCTATCTGCTTTCAAAAAAATGTCGAAAAACCTATTCTCATGAAACAGCACCTTTGGCCATCTCCTGTCACCCACCCAGCTTGAGCTCTTGTTTTATCTGAGATTTTCTCCAGTGTGAAAGATGCTACACAAATTTAGTTTTGTTGTTGTTAAATGCAAATTATTGTTGTCTGTGTTTGAATTGCTGTAATTGCACAGTGTATATTTTAGATACTCTACATCATTTACCAACAACAGTACTTTATATTTTAGGAGGTGGCTACTTCATTTATAGAATGGGGAGTTAAATAATGAGACTACTTATTTGTATTTTACTTTGTTGTTGAGTACCACTGAGTTTTAGGTCATAAATTTTGTGGCACTTCAACAAGCAGGTAAAATAACTAGTAAAACTAGCTTTGGTTCTTTTTCTTGTTCTGGTTTGCTTAGCACAAGCGAAATAACCCAAGCAAATTATGGGCAATATTCTGTGGATTTATTATTTCCCAATGCACAGATTAACACTGTCCACATTACATTCTTAAATAAGGAAAAATTATTTTGTGTCAGGGGAACACAATTTCTTGCATTTGATATAGCGCCTCATCGCATCTTCGAGACGTCTCAGAACGCTTCACAGAATATACTATAAAGTGAATTGGCTGTATATTTTGTGGGCGAAACACAGCAGCCAATTGGGCGCAGCAACGTCCCACAAACCATCATGGAATGAGTGATCAATGTGTATCCGATTGCTCTAACTTGTATACAGTGTCCCTTATGGTCAGTTTTCTTTCAGGGTTTCATGAATGGGGATGTTTTGGTTGCAAGCGAACATACTCCCAGCTGCTAACCAACTGCACGGAATGCGCTGCCTTGACCACTATCGGACGAGTGAGCGACTTAACGCATATCTCCAAGTATAACCACCGAATCGTACAACCAGTTGTAATTGAGGTAAAGTATTCCCGTGTTTTCTTTGGTGTCCATTGTACACCACCTCTTATTCTCGAATAAAATTAAAAATACTGCTTTCTTAGAATCTGGCTTTATATATCGCACACTCCATCCCAAAGTCCCTCTGTCTCGCCCCCTCCCTTGCCTCCTTTAAGACCCTTCTCAAGACCCTCCTCTTCGATCGTGTCTTCAGTCACCTCCCTACCCTCCACCCCTCCTGATCTCAACCACCAGCTTGCGTGCGGAGACCTGACTATCCAGTGACTTGGGACGTCCTCCTGACTTGAAAGGCGCTATCCCAATGTAAATTTGTTGTTGTTGTTGCACACAATAGAGTGACAGCTTTTTAGTGTGGAAATGTTTTCTATCTAAAATTAGTGTGATACTGAGTTTCTGTGCATCCTCTTGCTCGTAGAGTGGATCAACGGTGTCACTATCATATGAAGATCTGAAACGCTTACATTCCAAATACAAGGAGTTCATGGATGTATACGGTGCAGTTGACAGTGAAGCAACTGAAAACTCATACGTCTTTCCAGAAGAGGAATCCAACCTAATTGTTCACTGGTACGATGAAATGTAATGACCCCAGATAAAGGATATCTTTGTTCACAACTGGCCATCGAGCAATTATTTTCAAGTGAAATAATGTGTGTGAGATAAAGTAACATTGGAGACCTTGAAGAAATAGAGGAGAATAGAGACCAGATGTAAGTCAGTGAGCCAATCCTCGCCCGGCTTCAACTGACGGGTGGCAAAGTTATTTTAAAACATTATTCTATTTTGATAAAGACATTTCCTCTATACTTGGAAACAGTTTTTCTTTAATTAAGTATGTCAGCAGCCCCTTTTATTATATAAGCTTTTAGAAACTGCTTCCTCTAATACTTAAACCCAAAGTAATATTCTAGGCATTGTTTGTTATGAAGCCAAAACAAACAAACTCTGACTCACTTTGCTTGAGTACGTATGTTACCTCTTAAAGCTTTTTTTAATTATTCAGCAGTGAGCAGTTTCTCTGGAGAGAAATGTCCAGTTCAACTGTTTTGAAAAAAATGTTTAACTTAGATTTTTGTACCTTTTAGAATTGCAATAACTGATGTGCCACACAATATGATTGGTATTGTAACATTTGGTATTGGCTATTAGCAGCAATCAAATGTTTCAGTCTAATGTGTAAATCTCCCCTGTGTTTACTATAGATGTTGGTTTGGTGTTTCAATTTTCTATTTCCTTAATATTAATATTGTATATACAAGGGCGTGCTTCAGGCAAATGTGCAATGCAAATGAATTGATAGCTTAAAGTTTTATCAGGGACATTGTTACGATTAACTGTATCTATACCTCTGGAAATAACTTGTATGCTGCGAATTAACTACCCAGTTTGCATTGATAAATATATTGTTTTAAGATGGGTAAAATAATTAGTAACAATATAAAAGTATATAATTAAATATCTGTGGCCACCTAACTTGGTGTCATTTGCAAAATTGTCTTCCTGAGTCTGCAAGTCAAAATTATTAATGTATAAAAAAGATAGGAGGGGTCCCAGTGCAGACCCTTGAGTCATCCTGGCTTAACACTGCCCTCGATTTCAAACTAGCTTCTCTAACAAATGTTCTCGGCTGCCCTCTCTTAGGCCAATTGCTAGTATGATCCGTACCTTGTCTTACCCCTGATGCTCTGTGAGAAACTCAGCACAAGTTCCAGACAATAAACTATTTTTGTATCTTTTAGAATTGCAATAACTGTGTTTTATAACATCTGAGACATGAACCTTGCAGTCTCTAATAATTGCTGCCCTATTTGTGTGCTACTTAAGCTGTTGTGAGTTTAATCAAATCATTTTCCATACTTCTGCAGAATAATCCCAGCACATTTATTGAAGAACTCACTGAATTTGTGAATTTATATACATGAACAATGTTGAAACAAATTTCGATCTTCATTCCCTACAGGAAAACCCAGCACCTAAATGGGATGCATGTCTTACGAGCACTTTTTCCAAACTCTAGCTTGTTGCCTTTTGAAAATAAAGTCTCACTGAAGAAGTGCTTAATAACACCAACCCGCGGTTCTGCTGTTCAGCTCTTGGTAAGGAGAAAAACCTTGATTAAGTTGTTTGTCTAGATTAACCTAAATTACACAGATCAGCCAATGATCCAGATCCGTCAACTACAGTAGATTATTACAGTGGAGTATGAGGAAGCAGCAATTCTGTGGTGCAGTACCATTTTGCACTTTCTTAACCGGTTCAAATAGCGTTGCTTAAAAAAGAAATGCCTTTATTAAGGCATGTTTCCAAAAAAAAATACATTAAACAATTGTTGTTTGTAATTTGTGATTTGGAATCAGAGCAATAAATGTTATAGAATTTTATAAACCAGGAGCTGAAGATCAACAGTAGCTTCTCTTTCTCCTTCGTGTTCTATTGAACTTGCTCTGCATTACTATCATTTTCTGCTTGTATTATATATTGCCTCATCTGTAGTATATAAATAGCACCTTTACTATGAAAAAGTCGCTACCCCGCATGAAGGGCGCTATATAAATACAAGTTGTTGTTGAATATCCAATGTTAAATTCTGCTGCGTGTCTTTTCGCTTGTGTTTGTCAGGCTCACCAACTTCAGGTTGGACACAGTTGGCTCTCTGTGGGTGGAGGTAACCTCAATCTTCATATTGATGCTTCTGAGCAATGTGCTGAGAAGTGTGGCCCCTTTTCCGTTCAGCTGGGAGAAGGTGACATTGGTGCGTATGTATGTCCTAGCTCTTTATGCTTTAGTCTACGTGATGACTTTGATAGCTCCTATTCACTCACTAAAACTGAGTGAAAGCCAGATGGGCAAGACTGTAGCATGTAGTATAAGTTACCAGCTCACAGCACTTACCTTTCTTATCAGGTCTTTGCACTTTTGCCAATGACATTGGTAATAATAACAATGTTGATTTACAAAGCATGTGTTTTACAATTGCAGTAAAAGTGCATTCATCACATTCTATAACATATATTCATCTGAAGATGAAAGTTATTGAGCACAATGAATAGGCTGAGGATACATTGGATTGTATGACTCTTTTATTTGGGGCTTGTATGTGCATGAGTGTGATGCAAAACATTTAGTTTAGGATTGTAAAATCATCTTGAATCCTTTTCTATATGATTGGGACACTAATACTCATTCTATATATTGCATTTCTATGTAAACCCACATTAAAGTAAATCACCATTTTATAAGTAACTTTTCTTGCCTTTTAGTTTTATTATGGAATAGAAATCCATTCTTCAAAAGTAGGCAGTTTAGTATTTTTCTTCTGTACAACGTGAATTAAAAAATCATTATACAAAAACTATTTTCATATAATATGTGTTTATTTAATGTGTTTTTTTGTTGCAGTTTATGCGAATTCGAAGTATTGGAGGATGACCATTTCACCAGCTGGGGAGCAAACAGTCATTGTATGCATTGGATCTGTCTGACTGAAGATGCCCTTGATGATACCAAATGACTGCATCACATGTACAGGTGTTAGCTATGCATCTTTTGAAAATCCATGTTATTTGCATCCGCATTTGGGGCCAGACACCTATTCTAAATTGACCGATTCTGTATTGACGCAGTATCCTTTTGAACATTCTGCTTAAGTTGCACTTCACAACTGCCCAAATGAAACTGACACCATTGCCTATTTCATAACCTCAATATAGGTTCCTGCACCAGTTCTTGGGTTTGTTATTTTCTGTTACTTTCTCTTTGTTTACAGATGATGCAGAAAAACCTGGTTGCTATGATGTCCTTATATTGAGGCTAGTGAGAAGTCTAGGTTTTTTTTTATTCGACCATATTGGCACCATTATAGACACATGATCTGGGCTAAATTATCTTTAACGTTTTCAGGAAGAAATGACTACTACTTGTCATTTAATTTAGATGACAAACTGAAGAAAATATAGTAATTTTAAAACAATGAACAAAAGGGTATTTGAGTTTTTTTTATATGTGCGGGGGGGAATAGATTGTAAATATGTTCTCCCCCTAAACAGGAGATAATGGTACAGCACTTGTTACTTTGCTTAAAGCACAGTCCGTGTAATTATGTTTAAAATTATGTTATGTGACTTTTACTTGGAGTTCTCATCTATGGAACATGGTGGTTTGAAAAACTTACTTTAAACATGCAACCATGTACATATTTTCCAAATGGAACTTTGTAAAATGTTACTTTGTGTACATATAATATATTTGTATATCTGTAAAGGAATCTTTGCAATATCTTGCCTTTGATTTCAACAGGCAAAGACCTTAAATCCAAAAGTAATTGTTACATAATGTTTAAACAACTTATGCAAAATAAAATATATGTGAGTTGCCATAATTTATTCTATTTTCCCTCTCTTCCCTTTGTTTCCCTTTTTATCTCCTTTTAAATTTTTGAAAAATTCCTTTTACTACCCTATACATATAAATGTATTATGAGCTGGCTGATATTCCTTTTATTCCTACAACAATTCTACATTAAAAACAAGTTTATTATTTATTCCTTATTGTCTTCTTTTGATTCATTCGTTGATTTAGGTGCCATCTGCATTGTCATTCAGGTGGATATTACGGGTTTCTCTCCTGCTATTGGAAAGTTAACATGGAGTTTTTGTACTGGTATCTGGTATTCCCTCCTCAGCCAAATTCAAATTAATTGGCTGCACATCTTGTTCTAGCGGAGAGTTGCTGACTGATATCTGCTATCTTAGCACAGACAGAAAATAAATTAAATTAAAATAAATTGGGACGTCCTCCCGACGTGAAAAGAGCTATATCAAATGCAAGAATTATTATTATTATTATAAAGGCTGGCACCTTCTACTCTGCTGTGATGTTGGACAGACCATGGAGGGAGGGAGGGAAGGAGGGAGGGAGGGGTGGGGGAGGGAGGGGAGAAACCCTGTCAAACTGTTTAGCTTTAAAGTGAAATAGTAAATTAATCAAATGTGGTGTGTTAGCTTGGCTCAGTGGTAGCACTCTTGCCTCTGAGCCAGAAGGTTGTGGGTTCAAATACCACTTCCAGCGGAACTTGAATTTGCTTAGTCTAAGCTGACGCTCCAATGGGAGGGGCTGTCCTTCAGATGAGATGTTAAACTATGATCTCGTCTGCCTGTTCAGGTGAACGTTAAAAGATCCCACGGCACTGTTCGAAAAGAGAAGGCCGCTTCTCCCAGCGTCCTGGCCAACAGTCCCCAAATAAAATTGGTCACTTGTTTCATGGCTGTTTGTGGGTCAATGCTGTGCCCAATTGTGCTGCTCCGTTTGCCTATAGATGCGCAGTTACTCCACAGTAAAGCATGTGAAGCTCTTTAACAAGTCCTTCCGAGGTGATAAAAGGTGATATCAAATGCAAGGATTATTTATATTATTAAATGGCAAAAGAAGTAAGTTGTTGTTTTTAACAGTTCAGGAACTACAATCGTTCCAACTCCAGCACCTTGGGATGTCCTCCTGAAGTAAAAGGCACAAAATAAATGTAATTTGTTGTTGAGGTACATACAGGGTGTTCACGAAGTCCTGCTACATCCGTATTTTTTTTCTACAGACCCAACGACTGAAATTTGGGAGAATGATGATAATTGTAATTAGAAGTAGTTCATTGTATTCAGTACAAGTATTTAACTGTATTTTGACGTCCAGAGGATCGGTGTGTGTGAGCGCCATCATTTTCATGGCAGATAATGATCCGTTGCCATGTTCGGTGTGACATCTTCCGTGGATGGCATAAGGAGGAGGTTATTGGTGTCAGACATTGTTACACTGGAATCATCTGCAAGAGAAGATAAAAATTCATTGTAAGCCAAGAAAAAATGATAATAATAATAATAATCCTTGCATTTAATATAGCGCTTTATCATGTGTTCGAGACATCTCAAAACGCTTCACAGAATGTAATGTCTGCATGCCCATGGAGCAGGCTGCCCTGTACACACTGGCGGTGATGATATCGTGACCAGGGAACCTGCAAACTCGATTGGATATTCGTTTGAACAGAGTCTCAATGTCTGTTAGAATGTTGCCTCCGTCTTTGCAAGTTATTGTTTCAGTCATTTACCCCCAACACGTAGCAGGAACTGCCTCACAGTTAAACTATGTGGTGGTCGTCCAATCTGATGAAAACTCGTTGTCTGTAAGAATGTGTATTTTGTGAGTGTGAGAGTACAAGGGGATAAAACATCATTCTATTCGCCTTTTTGACTACTGTGGTACAAAAAAAATTGTTCCCCTAATTGTAGCTTTGTGGGTGTTTCATTGAATTATCTTTACTGTAGCTAATAGAGAAGGAGTCACAGCCTCTCATTAACTAAAAGTACTATAATTATTTTTTGGATCCAACTACTTCATGTCTCAACACTGAATCATTTATTTTTTGTTACTTGGACACGCAATTCTCTGGTGGAGTAGTTGGTTACCTTTGTTGGACATGACAAGACTTAATTATAGCATGTAATTTTGTTCAGCACCTTAATTAAATCCGATCTAATTTAATTTAATTAAATCCCGTTGGGTGGAATTCTGGTTTGTAATGGCTTTAGTTGTTTGTCATAAAAATGTCTTGACAGGTGGGAACTACAACTATTCTCGAAGGCCAAATGTGAATGGTTTAGTTGGAGTATTGTATATACTATGATTTTATTTATCATATTGTGTATAATATCATAGTATATACAATACTCTATACAACTATGTATACTCTATATAATCTGTAAACTTGATAAATCTCTCTCTTCCGTATATATATATATATGGAGACATTTCAGATATTTATTTCTGTGGGTTTGCGATGGAAAGATCCCTATCTCCCAAAGAGCTCATGTGTCAATTATGAATTTCTGAGATTTTTTGTAGGCTTTTCACGCATGCCAGCAACAAAAGGTTCAGAATTGTGAATGAGTATTGTTTATTTCAAATAATTTAACACATTACCTTCCAGTCATATTACAGATTGTGTTTTGATCTAGTTTCTGTTGGTGAGTGATTCAGAGCTGGTAAACTGTAGTTTTGTTCGCCAATATAAATGATTAATAATCCTTGCGTTTGATAAAGTGCTTTATCGCATCATCGAGACGCCACAAAGCGTTTACATGACATCCAGTTCCGCACAGCAAAGTCCCACAAACAGTCGGAGAGTGAATAACCTTTTTTTTATTTGTTGGCCAGGACACCAAGAAAAACTTCCTTCTTTTTTCAATTAGTGGCATTGGATCCTGGGGTGGAGTACACATAAGGGGGTTACTGAAGAACTTTGATGAGCTAAATTTTGCAATAAAAAACCGTTGCACAACCAACTCTTCAATACTATAAAAATAATGGCAGTTACTGGGGGATGTGCACAGCGGTTTCCACAGACGTGCGCAGGATAATTTGGAACTGTAAATGTAAATCCAGTATCTTGCTCCAAATATGATAATCCTTGCCTTTTATACATCACCTTATCCAATCACTGAAACATCTCAAAGCTCTTCATAGAATGTAGTACAAAGTGACATGAGACCGTGTGTATTTTGTGGGTGAACGTGACAGCCAATTTGTGCACAGCGATGTTCCACAAACAGCCATGGAATGAGTGACCAATTTTTTTGGGGGGATTGTTATCCAGGTCACCAGAATAAATTCCTCTTTTTGAATAGTAATTTTTGCAGTCAATGAAATAACAGCAGCAATTTAAGGGATAATCCCTCACTGCCATTACTTACTGGGAGCTTGAGGAATGCAGGATTTTACAGTGAAATGAATTTTAAGCTAACAGTTTGTTGTAATTCCGCCAAATCATTGAGTTGCACAAAGGAAAAATCCACCCTTAGTATTTTCTTGTCCAGCTCCACTTACTCACAGCTGCACTTTATTATTGAGACACATCTGTGTCTTAGGGTTACGTGCACAAGGCGTAGTTATTTTTTCTCTTGTGATTTTTATGATCTAGTCACAGTCTGGATGAATATCTAATTGAAGGTATTGCATGTACCAAACTTACACACCCCAGAGCAAGATGTTCCAGTTGCACAGTTTTCAACAGGAAACATTACCTAAAAATTAGTTTCTACACTATGACTCTATCTCCAGGTCCAATTTCAAGTTTTAATCTATGAAAGATCAGAATTCATTTCCCACAAAGGAGGTTAATGTTTGTTGTCTATGCGCTTCTTTTTGCATAATTCACAGTCTTCACAGTTTTTGAAAGTGGTGTTACAGATTGCAGATTACGATGATACTTCCACCCACACGCAAGAAGTATTACACCATTCTGAACCTCACTACCTTCTCCCAATATAATAATCATCCTTGCATTTGATGCAGTGTCTTATCACGTCATTGAGACGTCTTAAAGTGCTTCACAGAATATATTGTAAAGTGGATTGACTGGGTATTTTGTGGGCAACACAGCAGTGTCCCACAAACAGTTATCGATTGAGTGACCCAAATTTTTTGTTGGAGGGATTATAATAATAATAATCCCTCAAGAAAATAAACAATAATAAATTGGTCACTTCAATCCATGACTGTTTGTGGGACACTGCTGTGTGCAATTGGCTGCCGCATTTCACCCACAGATAATACAGTCAATTCACTTTACAATATATTCTGTGAAGCACGTTAAGACATCTCAATGAATAAATGGAGTACAGGGTTAGAGCGCATGCCTTGCAAGCAAGAGACCTGGGTTCGATTCCCGGCAGGGCAAAACACTGGCCAAGTGTCCTTACTTCACATGCCTCAGTTTACCTAGCAGTAAGTGGTTGTTAGTCGATTGGGGGATCATTTTCCAGGGGTAATAATTCCATCAAAGAAACAAATAATATTAATAAATTGGTCACTCAATCCACGGCTGTTTGTTGGACACTGCCATGCGCAATTGGCTGCCGCCTTTCACCCACGACATATAAATCTGGGATTCAGATCTGGAACCGATTGCCAAGGAATATGCAGCCAAATGCACATGGAAACATAACCCTGACAGAGAATCTTCTGGGGAAAACATGTCTGTGGGAACTGGCGATTTGGACATCAAGGGAGCAGTCCAGAAATGGTACGGTGAAAAAACTGAATACACGTATGATACTATGAGCTGTACTAATGGCAAAAACGCTCGTCACAAAAACGATGTTAACCACATCTGATTCCACAGTTCCCCCTAAATTAGAAAATTAGAAACCTTTACATTGAGTCAGCAAATCCATATTAGTATTATTAATAATATTATTATTAATAATAATAATCCTTGCATTTTATATAGTGCCCTATCACATCTTCAAGACGTCTCAATGCATGACACAGTATGTACTGTAAAGTGTAGTGATTGTATTCTGTGGTCGAAACGCGGCAGCCAATTGCGCACAGGAGGGTCCCAAAAACAGTCGCGGATTGAGTGACGAAATTATTATTTATTTTGGTGGATTATTACCCCCAGAAAGAGAGAGAATGAGACTCACTGAGAGAGAGAGACTCACTCGGAGACAGAGATAGAGTCAGTGAGAGAGGGAGTGTTCCTGAGAGAAAGAGCCCGAGGGATACTTCCTGAGAAAGAATTCCTGCCGACTGATCCGTTGTAGATCAGGAGGGATGTGCGTGAGCTGGGAGTTCTTGCTTGCTTGACACTGTGTCCTTCCAAACAAAACAAACATAGAAACGAGGAAAAGGACCAAATATTAAAGTATTACTATATTAAAACAAATAGGAGAGGCCCCAGGCAGAAGTATTAAAATATGAATGTATTAAAACTAGTAGCAGAGATTCCAGGCAGAAGTATTAGGTATTAATGTATTAAAACAAATAGGAGGGGTCCCACTGCAGATCCCTAGGCACCCTGCTTAACACTTCCCCCGATTTCGAACTAGCTTCCCTAACAAATACCCTCAGCTGGTCTCTTTTAGGCCAATTGCTCATAACATTCATATCCACAGAGTACAATCTTCCCCAATAATGGGCAGATAAACGAATGGAGCTTGGGGAATGCGGAATTTTTACAATGAATTTTAAGGCAACAAGTTGTTGGAATTCCGCCAATTCATTGTGTTGTTCAAAAGAAAAATCCACCCTTAGGTTCACTTACTCACAGCTGCACTAAATGATTGAGACACAACTCTGTTTCAGGGTGTAGTTGTTTTTTTTCTGTTCTGATGTTTAAGGATCGAAAATTAATCCAAGGCATTGCATATACCAAGGTTATGTAATGCAGAGGAAGACATTACAGTTACAGGGTTTTCGACAGCTGACATTACCTAAAAAAAATTGTTTCTACTCTATGACCTGACATGCAGGCTGCCGGACTCAATTTCAAGATGTAGCCTACGAACAATGAGAATTAATTTTCCACAAGAAGTTTAATGTTTGTTGTCTGTGTGTTGTGTTGCTTTTTTATAGTTCACTAAATCTACACAGTTTCTTGGTATATTATAGATTACAACGATACTTCACAATACATATCCCACTGTTCTGAACCTCACAACCTTCTCCCCAATATAATGACAAGCCATCAACATATGTGTTTCCTCATGAGTTTCAAGTTTGACGCCAATAGCCTTCACCATGGATTCTGCCATTCTCCATACAGAAACTCTATCTTTCGAAACAATTCTGCATTTGTATTGCACGTTTAATGTTGCAGGGATAGATGATTGTAGACGTGGTCAGAGGTGAAGGTCAAACAGTTTCATACTGGCTCCATGACCTGGAGAGGTTGAGGTGAGAAGATGGAGCTAGCTGAAGCTGTGTAGGATAACCTTGGCTTTGTCACAGTTAACTTGAAGATAGTTCAGGTTCACGCATGGCGCGTGGGTTTGGTTTCTGAGTTTCAGGAGTGAAAGTTGAATGGCAGAATTGACGTCTGACAAATAATCTATCAGTGCAGCAGTTGCCTGGATAGAAAGATAAAGTTGGGTGTCAACTCCCTACATGTAGAAATACAAGTCCATGACTAGTTCTTTGTGGCTAGATATCCGACAAACAAATCCATTGCCAATTCATTTGAATTCTTCCAATTTGAATTTGAGATGGATAATAATAATCCTCGCATTTGATATAGCGCCTTATCAACGGATCCAGTCTGGTTGGGTGGTATGTGTGGTTATGGAAAAACATTTTGAGCTGGGTAATTGTTCTAATTCTGGCATGGATAGCGATAGGGGGGAGGTCTAACACATGTGGAAACCCATCTCATCACCATCTCATCTCATCACCATGCTTAAGAGTATCTGAACCAAACCAAAAATTCCATGCATCCCACCTACACATGGAAAATGAGTGATCTTGCGTTTGGAAGCCAATTCTAGGGATTGACTTAAGGAGTGGGCAAGTCAGTGGGAGTATGAGGAGGAAACTGTGCTGAATGGGTTATCCTTGCATTTGATATAGCGCTTTTCACGTCGGGAGGACGTCCCAAAGCGCTTCACAGAACACACTGCAAAGTGAATTGACTGTATATTTGTGGGCGAACGCTGCAGCCAATTGCACACAGCAGTGTCCCACAAACAGTCGTAGATTGAAAATGACCAATTTATTATTGTTCTTGGTTTTAGAGGGATTATTATTAGGCTCTGTGTGGAGTAAGGAAACTTGCCCAAGGTTTCGAACTCAGGGCTCTCGCTTGCAAAGCGAGTGCTCTAACCACTGAGCTACAGGACTCCACAAAATAGAGTTATGTTCAAACTATAAAGTGATCAAATGCATCACGGAGTGGCTGGATGGCATTGGAGTTGTTACCAGTGGAGTCCGGGCTTATGACCTGATTGAGTCAAGTGATTTGTTGGCAGCACATTGTTTCAGCGCAAATGGCACACCATCAACTCCTTTTGAAACCTGGGTTGAATAATAAAGATCCAGCTCAGCCTCTGTAGCCTTTGCTTGCCTGCTAAATGATGCAATAGATATTCAAGCTTTTATGCACTATTTTCCTTCTGCCACCAGCCTCCTTGCCCTCCAACACTCTCGATTCCAGCCCCCAGCTCACCGTGCTTGAGAGTGTCCAAACCAAGCTGAGAATTCCATGGATCCCACCAACACACACGGAAATTCCAGAGACAGATTGTTGGAATGGAATGGGCACTCTCTCCCTAGAGGGACGCAACCTGCTTACTTAATTCCGGAAAGTATTAGGCACAGGTTGGCAAGAGCCAAGGCTTAGGGACTCCAGAGCATGCTTTGGAAGTACTACTGGAGTCTAGCCAGTTAAAAATGCGTAGCTGGCCATTGATATCACTGACTGACAAGCTTTCCCGCTGATTGTTCAGTTAGGACCACCCTAACTGCTAGGACTTTGGCTTGCAGTGTTAACAGGAGCTGAGTGGGATGACTCCCTATCCCTTGTGAGTGCTCTGCCCTTTAAGGTCCTGCCAATGACTGCAGTGAACCTTGGCACGATTTGCCATAAAAATTTGAGTTTCCAATAGAGCCCTAAACTTTGTAGCGTGTTAATATTTAATCAGACTCGAAATTAATTGGACCAGTCAACAACTGGAAGGTTTTGCAATTTACAAGGTTGCTGGCTATTCGTTCCCTTGTTCCTTGTTTCCATGGGTGTGACCCAGTATAAGTTGAGCTGTGAGTTCTGCTCACATGAACTTTATTTGAGCGATGGAAGGCAGATCACTGATACCGACAGCTCTTGTGCTGCTGGTGTACTTGCTGACATTTCTCTCGTTTACCTACTGCCTGTCTGAAGAACAGAAGCAAGTCGTGAAAGTCCACAATAATTATCGATCACAGGAGGGTGCAACCAACATGCTTAAAATGGTAAGTTATTACCATGTAATAAATCAGTATACGATTTATTCAGCAGCCTTAATGCTAATCTGGGTTAAAAAAAACACCAATTGCAATGGTACATTGCAATTAATATTAATATTAATTAATTAATATTCACATTCACCGAAGCGGTAGAGTTTATTTGTAGATTTTTGTGGAAAAGTAAAGTCCTTACCCCACAGGACCCACTTCCATGCTAGTGGGTGAGAGCTGAGCAGAGGGGAATGCAGTGATACAGTAATTCTGAATAGACATGTTTCCATAAAACTGAAAACAAATATCCATACTTAAAGCTGTGCTGATCTCAGTCGTTGCGGCGCTAGAGGGCGCTGTGCGTTGCCTCAGCATCTTCAGCCAAAGTTAGATAAAAGTTTGGGTAGGTTTGTAAATATTTATTTTACATTTTTTTTTATGATTGGGTTTGACTGTATTCGTACGTTAAACGCAGCTCTCTCTCTCTTTCTCTCTCTCTCGCCTTTTGGATGCTGATTCAATCAAAACTGGTCTTATTCAAGCCTGAAAGATCCCATGGCCATATATTCAAAGAGAGAAGGTAGTTTTTCTAGCCAAAAATTGTCCAAATTACCAAAAAAAAAAACTGGTCATTCACTTAAAGGCTGGGTATGGAAACTGGCTGCCTCCTTTGCCTAGAAATACACAGTCACTACAGTTTACAGTCAATCTTGCAAAGTGCTTTGAGACATTCTTTCGGCATGTCAAGCAAGTAAGCGGCATATCAAATGCAAGGAATCTTCTTTGTTTTATTACAAATGAGTACATTTCAACTGTTATAAACATTTATACTTTTATACGTGAGTATTGATATCATGCATTTAACTAGATAACGACAAGGTCATTTGTTTTTAGTCCTGGGATTCAGGTCTGGAAAACATCGCCAAGACATATGCAGCCAAATGCATATGGGAACATAACCCAGAAAGGGGAAATGTGGGGGAAAACTTGTTTGTGGGAACTGGTAAATTCAACGTCGGGAACGCAATAAAGAGTTGGTACGACGAAAAGCCTTATTACACATTCGAAACTATGGGCTGTGCTGCAGATAAAAAGTGTGGACACTATACTCAGGTATGAAACTTCATCAAATTCTCTGAACCAATCATTTAACTTTTGTTTTGCTTAATGATCTGCAGACAGACCTTCTCCTGGATAGTTGACAGAGTTTATTCGCCTGTAGTCTGAACAGCAACTGGAGATGGACAGAGTACTATCAGTCGCTCCCCAATTGAAAAAAGTTATTTTATTCTGTTCTTTTCTTAACTTCTCTGCTTCCCTACAAACCCCCCTAATTCCTTCAAAAAAACAATAAGTGCTCTTTGTACTTGGCTGCTGCATTTCGCCCGCAAAAATATAAAGTCTGTGAAGCGCTTTGAAACGTCTCGAAGATGTGGTAAGAACTGTATCAAATGCAAAGATTATTATTACTAGTACATTAATATGAGGTGTGCTAGCAATCGGAGAATACCATTAGTCAGAGAAAGGTTCCTGTTCCAACACCACGTCATTTCATTCAAAAGGAATGTTCTGCAAAAACTTATCCTGTTCATATTTCAACTAACTACAAAAATATCAAAATATCAATTTGTACAGCGCCTTTCACGTCGGAAGACATCTAGGGTGATACTGGTGTGGACAGCAGAGTTTAGAGTGTATTCTCTCTCTGTTGGTTCTTAAATTCTGTGTAAAGAAAAGAAAAGCTTTTCAAATCCTCAACGAGTTTCGTTCACTTAATTTATGTGCTTTTTACAGGTTGTATGGGCAAATAGTAATAAGGTTGGCTGTGCCCATTACTTTTGTAAGACAGTGGAAGGTCTGGATTTGAAGGACGCAACTATTCTGGTGTGCAATTATTCACCTCCGTAAGTATAAGTATCAGTGATTTTTTTTTTTGGGTCAGCCGGGTGTCTGACTCCTGAGGAAACCCATCGCCGTGCTTAAGAGTATCCAAACCAAACTGAGAATTCCATGCATCCCACTTACACATGGAAATTCCAGAGATAGATTGATGGAATGCAATGCGCAATCTCTCCCTGCAGGACGCTTTGCCTAATTCCGTGAAGTATTAGGCGCAGGTTAGCGAGAGCCAAGGCTTGGGGAGCCCAGAGTGTGCGTTGGGGTAACTGCTGGAGTCTAACCAGCTAGAACTGCATAGCTTGCCATTAATATCACTGGCACAAGCTTTCCCGCTGCTTGTCCAGCTGGGATCTACCCTACCTGTAAGGGCTTTGGGATTGCAGGGTTAACGGGAGCTGAGTGGGATGACTCCCTGCCACCATTGACTGGTCTGCTCTTCCAGGTCCTGCCAATGAGCCAGGCTGACTGAGTTGTCATCAGCAATGCCCTGGAATACTGCAGACCCACCTGGCTCAGGAACCGGACTACCGAGACCGCCACAGATGGCTGATTCAATTCTGACATTCCAGTATCAGTGATGTCTTGATGTTTAGGCAGTTCTAGCCCTTTTTGACTGCAGAGCGCACATTATTCCGAATGATCTTCCATGAGATGTTTTTGTTTGATATATAACTAGTGTGCAGATTTTTTGTGGCATTTGGGTGACCTTGCAATACCGTTCAATATTTTGTTAACATTTTGTTAACCTTCCTACATTTTTGACTTTCCATTTCCAGTGGTAACTATAAAAACCAGAAACCATATAGAAAAGGGAAGTCCTGCAGTGAATGTCCAAAAGGATACTCATGTCAGGGGAATCTTTGCAGTGAGTATCTTTTCATGCAACAATTTGTATCTAAACATAGATTAAGTACTGTTTAATATATCTCAGCTCTGGGAATCTTTGGCCATTGAGTTTAGACATTAAGTGTTGTCATCTGTTTGACTGTGTCTTTACAATTGAAGCTACTTCTTTCCACTTATTGATCTGCACTGGTCAAGGAAGTAAACGTACACTAGAGGCTAACCAATAATCCAATATCCAATAATTTAAACATCTCAGTATCTCAACTGATCTAACTTCAATTTATAATTAAATCAGTCAGTATTGATTGTTCTTCATCTACAATGGTGTCTCAGTCCACTACTGTACAGCTCTCCAAGACCACTATCCTGCGTGAAAAGAGTTACATAAATGCAAGTGGTTAGGTCGGTGTACAGAACTCTTCAAAAACAACAATAATAATCGCTGCTTTAATAATCAAAAGAGCTTGGTCAAGACAATAATTATATTTCAGTTGAGCTAGTGAAAATAATGAGCCATTGCAAAATAGTGGAGTCCTGTAGTCTATTGGTTAAAGCACTTGCCCCGCAAGCGAGAGGACCCGGGTTTGATTCCCGGGCTGGGCGAAACGTTAAGCAAGTTTCCTTACTCCACATGCCTCTGTTTACTTAGCAGAATGTATTTAGGTTGTTAGTCAATTGGCAGATCATTATTCCGGGGATAATAATCCCTTACAAACAAAATAATAATTTGGTCACTGAATCCACGACTGTCTGTGGGACGTTGCTGCGCGCAATTGGCTGCCGTGTTTCACCCACGAGATATACAGTCAATTCACTTTACAGTATATTCTGTGAAGTGCTTTGAGATATCTTGAGGACCTGATAAGGCGCTATATTAAATTCAAAGACTATTGTTAAATAATGTACAACACTTTTAATTATAAAATGATACAGGTACACTGTGCAGTTTACTACATTTATATGTTTTAACACTAAAGACACCAATGGTGAGATTTGAATACTGATTACCAATTCTGTTCTGAAACTTAGTATATTTGTGATTGTGTGAACATAATGAGAATCTTACTATGTCATCACATGTTTCAACAGGTAACAACATGCAAGGAGGCTCCAATGGTGTGAATTTAGTAATGTTCTCTAGTACTACTCTGGTTGTTTTAATGTTAGTAGCTTTGTATTCCTTATGAAGCAAGAAAGCAGTGAAAGAGAGGTTTGGCCCACCTAATAAATTATATACATTTAACTTAAACCTTAAAAGGTTTACTTGGCTCCTGTTGAATCTGCATGGATCTCCATCAACAATGTTATCAAATCACTTCTCTTAGCCTGAATCTTGTTAAGTTGCTGTTAGTTCTTACATCAAAGTAATTTTCAACTAAGTTGAACTCTGTAGTACAAATGTTGAATAACATCTTCACTCTGTTTCACTTGATGCTTGATGACAATAGATTGTTGCCTGGATATAGATGTTTGAAATAAATAATAAATATTGTCAGTCTGCGGTATACATTGTGTTCCTTGATTTTGTCAATGCTCTGCTTGCCGGCCTGCCTAGCTCAATCTTCCAACTGATCCAGAACTCCACAGTCAAAATCCTTTCCTGCTCCATGAACATCAACCGCATTCCTAATAATAATAATAATAATAATAATCCTTGCATTTGATATAGCGCTTTTCACGTCTTCGAGACGTCCCAAAGCGCTTCACAGAATATACTGTAAAGTGAATTGACTGTATATTTGTGGGCGAACGCAGCAGCCAATTGCGCACAGCAATGTCCCACAAACAGTAGTAGATTGAAAATGACCAATTTATTATTGTTTTGTTTTTTTTGGAGGGATTATTATTAGGCTCTGTGTGGAGTAAGGAAACTTGCCCAAGGTTTCGCCCTCTGCCTGGAATTGAACTCAGGTCTCTCACCTGCAAAGCGAGCGCTCTAACCACTGAGCTACAAGACTCCACTGTGCACAAATTGGCTGCTGTGTTATTCACAAAATACACAGTCACTCCACTTATAATAATAATAATATATCCTGGGAAGCACTTTTGGACTTTCTGATGTGAAAAGCCCTACACCAAGTGCAAGATTCTTTACGGTATTATTCTCCCCAAGGTTTACGTGCTTTTTATTCCCCTGCATATTGATTTCAATCAAGATCCTTGTTCTAACTTTAAAGTGCTTCCAACACTCCTGCCTCCAAAGCTGCTCTCTTGAAACCCCTTTCATTCCCTGTCCATTCCCTCCACTTTGCCATAATGATTCAAGCTTGCCCCATGGATGACTCCCTAGTCCCCATTAATGGGTGAACTTTCAGTTTCACACTGGATATAACTGCAACTTGATTAAAAAAAAACGTTTGGCACTCCCAGTGATCTGATTTGAGATGGTGATAAGCTCTTGCATTGATGTGGTTAGTTGGGCGTTGGATAAAAAGGATTGGTGAGAGATGAGGAGACCCACTGGGGAGGATTCATTATTCTGAAACACTCTCATTACATTATAAAAGGATTGGAAACGAATTTGTGCTTTGATCAGGTCAGAGACTTGGGGCATTGAGAAAGCTTTGGGGTGGGGGGGTAATCTGTGAAAGCATTTAAAAATATTTTAAAGGATGCAACAGCAGCAACTCAGTTCAGTTTGCACAAACCACACTGGAATAAGACAAGATAAGATCAGGTGCACAGTTACTTCACATGGTAGCTGCTCAAAGCACGAGTTTATTCACTGTGTAGACTGTGCTGAAGACTCTGTTAACTAAAGTGTTAAGTTTCTGCTCCTCTTTCTGTGCATCTCTCTGTTTAGACTTGATCTCTGATAAAACACATAGATGCACATGGCATCTCTCTCTCTCTCTCTCTCACACACTCTTCCCTCTCTCTTCACTTTGACCCACAACATCAGGGCTTTAAGTGAACCACAAAGTCAAACCATTTCAGCATTAACATTTCATTAGATGCCACAATTGAAATGATGCATCATAAAGTGGATGCGTCATGGCTTTCACCAATAAATAAATATAGAGAGATATCTATATATATATATATATACACATAGAGAGAGAGAGAGAGAGAGATATCTCCCTGTTGTTGAGCTCTAGTTTGTTGCCTTGATTTATTTTTTTTTGTTTGGGGGGGTCAGGGAATCGCCAAAGCAATAAGAAAACAAAATTAACTCAAAGTCAAACTCCAGTGTTGTCACTGGATATTGGATTTCCGATGGTCAGCGAGTCACTGAATGCTGTGGCTCTCATCAGCACCATCACCATCCTCCTCCTGGTACCCCTCCCCTCGTCTGACAGCAAACTGCAAGCATTTGAAAAGAAAAAGCTGGTCAATGTCCACAACAAGTACCGTTCGATGGCTCCTGCCTCCAACATGATAAGGCTGGTAAGGATAAAATAAGATGAATTAATAACACCCCAGAAAGGTGGCTCTTGTTTGCAGCTGCAAACACCCAACGTTATATTACCTCCTTTTGCTACACTCCTGATGTTGCACCCATGAGCTGCCACTTTTTCCTGCAAAGGCACTCACTGCACTTTTTTTTGAATTATTACTATTATTTATTACACTTGTCAGTAATTCACTGCGAAGCACTTTGCAACCTTTCAATTTCCAAAGCCCTGCATCAAATACCAGATTATTATTACCACTCTCATGATGATTAGTATCACTGTGTGCCCATCTTTTCGAATTTCTTAATAGCTTTTCAGATAGTTTTACCCAGTTTTTTTTTTGCAAAATCACCTTCTAATTCTCATCGTGAATGTTCAATATTTGTGGTTTAGTCGGCAATGTGTGGCAGTGCCTCTCTAACAGCATTCACTTCATTTCTAATTGATCTAATTCTTGAAAGATTTTGAAATACTTTTCTGATGCGAAACGTTCCATCGTCACGTAGTTGTAATAGATTTCCATAGTTAAAGACAACTTATTCCAATCAATCAAAATATGAACAAAATCCGATTCTGGTCGTAATTTAATAAATTGCAACTGATTTATATTCCATTTATTATTAGTTTAGATTATTAGATAATATTTAGATAATGTTCAGCAACTCTATTCCTATTTATATATTATATGTTGTTTGTTTTTTAGAGCTGGAGCTACGAACTGGAAAATATTTCTAAAGAATATGTAGCCAAATGTGCATATGAATCTAATCCTAACAAAAAGGAAAACATTGGGGAAAATCTATTTACGACTTTTAATCGTTTCCGACCTAAAGCTGCAGTTGACTACTGGCACGTTGAGGGTGATAACTTTAATCTAAATAAGATGAAATGTTCCAGTGGCAAAGACTGTCGCAGATATATGCAGGTATGAAATATTGCTCTATTCTCAAAATCAATACAATTCAATCTCTGGTTTCATTGCTGAGCTGACCTGAACTACCACTGGTCTTATTTGTAGTCCAGGAGCTGCCACGAGACTGATAAAACTACTTTACAGTGGTCTGAAAAGCTTCACACATTTCATCAGGGTTGGATAAAACACAAAAAATCATTCCCTGGTCTATGTAATAGCAGTTAGTTTTTATTGCGGCCTTTTCAGCTTCTCTGTTGTTCACCAGAGCAGTTATGTGATGTGTCAAACGGTATCCATCAATGATGCTGTTGCACTGAGACTGCTGGCTTTCCTGGAGAAATGAAGGAGATGTTTCCCCCCACTTTTAACACCGTAACATTTTTCTACCGAAAACTCTTGGAAACAGCTACCTTAAACTAAGTCAAAGTGGGAAACATACGGACAAATCGTCATGGAGCTCCTCAGGAGCACACCAGAGTGCCATGTGCCACTTTAAAAGATGCTGTTCTACAATCCCTCTGTACGATTCACGTTGATATTTCTCTCCCTGATTTGACTGATAGTGAGCTTGTCTCTAGTGAACAAGATGTACCATTTGTGTTCATTACGTATAAATTTTCCATATGGGAGTCCTGTAGCTCAGTGGTTAGAGCACTCGCTTCGCGAGCGAGAGATCTGGGTTCGATTCCCGAGCAGAGTAAGTTTCCTTATTCCACACGCCTCTGTTTACCCAGGAGTAAGTAGGAACCCGCTTGTTAGTCGATTGGCGGATCGCTTTTCCCGGCGTAATAATTGTTTCATAAAAAAAATTGGTCACTCAATCCACAACTGTGGGATACTGCTGTGCGCAATTGGCTGCTGGGTTTCGCCCTAAAAATGTACAGTCAATTCACTTTACAGTATATTCTGTGAAGCCCTTTGAGACGTCTCGAAGATGTCATGAGGCACTATATAAAAAATAATAATTATTATTATATTAAGAATTAAGCATTCTAAATTAAGAGTTCCATATTCAAATATCAAGAGATTTTTAATCCATGATGGCACAACTATTTTACTTGGTGCCTGAACAAGTGATTGGGATAATGAAGTAATTACTCCTTCAAGACGATTTCTCCTCCATTTCACTGCTGAACAGTGTGAACAATTAACAGTAATTGAAAACATTTTAGCGACTGCTTTTTCAGAAAAAAACCTTTTGTAATTCATGCCCTCGATTTACAGTGGTGTATTACTTCACAGGTTGTTTGTGCAGCTACTGAAAGTATTGGGTGCGCTTCACTTTTGTGTGACACAATTAAAGGGACGAGCTTGGTGAAATCAACTTTGTTGGTGTGCTACTATTCACCTGGGTAAGTAAGAGCATGAATGATGCATCTACCGTTAGATATGAAAAGAGTGTGTAATATGAGCGTTCAGATAAGTTCTACAAAATACAGTTGTGATCTCGCACTGCTTGCTGTATGATCTCAATTAACCATATTTTGTGATTTGAAGTCATGTTTCCATTCTTCACTATTGTAAACCTACCCTGTGTTTTATTGTATTGAAGCAAATGAAGCACGCAAGACAAAGTTAAACAAGGTGTTCCTCGCTGGGCAATCAACGGGAAACGTGTCTGGCAATGCTCTCTCTGCGAAGCTATCCAGGGTTCAGCTGGCTAAACTCCAGCAACCGTTCCCAAGCCTTGGCTCTGACTGACCTAATAGTTTGGAATATTAAGCAAGGAAAGGGCACGTTCCATTCCAAACACAAGAATTTCCATGTGGAGGTGACATTCTCAGTCTGGTTACTCTTCAGTGTGGGGATAGGTTTCAGCGTATATCAGATCCAAAAGAAAACGTATTTGGTCCTAAGACTATGGAACTAAAATAATAATAATAAGCATTCTGTAAAGTGTCTGATGGGATATTGAGAGCTTACTTTCTCTGCTGTATTTCTATTTCCAGAGGTCACCAAATATGTGAAAAGCCATTTAAAAAAGGATCACGCTGCAGCAAATGTCCAGTGTCAAAAGAACTGTGTTTTAATCGTCTTTGTGGTGAGTGTTCCTTTACCCAACACATTTATATATCGGTTCAATAATAGTGTTTCCCCTGCCTTTAAGGAGATCAGGAAATACATCTAACTTTAGCCCGTAAGACAATTTAAGACCATAAATAGACAGATAGATAGATAGATAGATAGATAGATAGAT